GCATGCAGGGCGCAATAGTGCGGGTTCGAATCCCAGGTTGTCTTTAAAAAAAAGGAATTTTTTAAAGAATTTATAACATCCCTATGCTTTTTTTTGTCTAGGTCATCAAGGCAAAAAAGCATAGCGTAGGGCCCTGAGCTTCCAAGCTCTCTCGTTTCAATCCATCGGCATCGAAGCAGAGCACGTCCCGTCCAACATCTATGTGTACGACGGTTTCTCCGTCACCCTCCAAGAACACCAATAACCCGCATATCGCGCATACATTCACTGTGTATGCATGATATTCATGAGGTCCGAGAAGCCCACTGTTGTGCCATCGCTCTGCATAAAATTGCATACTGTAAACCGGGGAAACTTTTGCGGCGTGCAACTTTAGCGTTTTGAAAAAACGCCCCTGTTAACGACGGGAAATTTTAGCGATTTGGTCTTTTCAGGTGGTTCTTTTTCCACACTTTCAGGACACAGACATGCTCATAGACACAGTTTCAACACGGTCGTACCATTGCAAAGCATTGCAATTGCAGAATATCGGGCAAAACACAACAGCACGATCATAATAGAACAGCACCACGCTTACAGTTTTACATGGCACAACTTCAAGAGAACAGAATACGACGCTGCAAAATACGGAACGCAAAGCTGTAAGAAACGGAACACAAAACTGCTAGAGAACGGAACACAAAACTGCAAGAAACAGAACACAAAACTGCAAAAGAACGGATCGCAAAACACTGCAAAAACGGAATTCAAAGTTTTAAGAGAACGAAAAGGAACGCAACTTCAAGAGAACAGAACGGAGCCCTTGTACGCATGTACAACTCACTCTACCTCCACAACAGTTACTGGCAGAACCTCGGTGATTCCAGCCTTCTCGAATCCAAGCTTCAGGCACGAGGACGTTTTCAGACTGGCAATGGCGTCAATCAGCCACCTGGCGTGCTGCGGCTTCACTGTGGAGGCTTTCAAGTCAACCTTGACATTCTCCAGCTCCAATCCAGTGTCCAATGCTTCCTTAAAGGGGAAGTTAAGGCAAAAATTAAAATTTCACCAGTTGTAGTCTTCAGGGTGCTGAGTCGAATGGTCTTGGTCCGAGAAAGCTGAGACGCTCCCTTCCTACTTGAATCCCAATCGAAGTCACGCACTTCCACCGAAACTGGGTGACTGCGCCCTATTAGATGGGGATTTGTATGCAAAATGTCTCTAAAAGCGCCATTCCGTTCTTATAAGGCCATCATTTTTTATATCTATGTTTCGCGTCGTCCGTACGCATACGTTTTGATTTTTTTCGGAAAAAAATAAAAAACTCAACCATGCACAGTTAGTGTACGATCGTGCGAGTCATCAGTGTGGACTGGTTGCATACGGCGAAGCTGGGATTCAGAAATGGCCTCGAGGCCAGCGTTGGTAAATCGTTTGTTCGGCATCTGCGAGCAGTATTCTATGAGCTTACAACAGACCGCATCGATCGCCTCAAGCTGAGCGGATGCGTCGTTCCGGAGCTCTTTGCACCTCTGCTGAAGGCTGAGTACAATAATCCAGCGAAGCATGGGCACCAACGGTTGCCTCCTCTGTCCAAAGTGATGCAGATCTTGTGCTTCGATGTACGATTTTTCTTTCGGATGTACACCATGCACGAGCTATTGTGCTATGTACAGTTTTATACACCTCTGATGAGCTTTTTTTTATTATTTTGCAACTTTTTATTTTTTTCCACCTCTCGCATATGATTCTTGAAGTTGAACTGACGCGAAACATAGATATAAAAAATGATGGCCTAAAAGCACGGATGACCGCGATTGGCCCATATGTTGTAGTCTTTTGGACGCTGAGTCGACTGGTTTTGGTCCGAAAAGGCTGCGATGCAGCGTTCCTCCTTTATTCCCAATCGAACATGGTTGAACAAGTGGTCACGTGCTCCTGGGTGCCCAAATCACCTGGTCACCAAACCAGCAGGCGACAACTTTCACACCAAGGTTCACCTCGAGTGACAGGACTGCACCCAAAAAAGGTCAAACAGGCTAGTAAGTTGTACCCTGCAGGCACGGTGACCAGGTGACTGGCGTACGCAGGAGCACGTGACCGCTTGTTCAACCATGTTCGATTGGGAATAAAGGAGGAACGCTGCATCGCAGCCTTTTCGGACCAAAACCAGTCGACTCAGCGTCCAAAAGACTACAACATATGGGCCAATCGCGGTCATCCGTGCTTTTATAAGAACGGAATGGCGCTTTTAGTGACATTTTGCATACAAATCCCCATCTAGTAGGGCGCAGTCACCCAGTTTCGGTGGAAGTGCGCGAGTTCGATTGGGATTCAAGTAGGAAGGGAGCGTCTCAGCTTTCTCGGACCAAGACCATTCGACTCAGCACCCCGAAAACTACAACTGGTGAAATTTTAATTTTTGCCTTAACTTCCCCTTTAACTTCAACCGCATACCACTCCGAGAACTGGCGCTTCATGTCGGCTTTGAACACATCGTTCACGGCAAGATCCAATGGTTGCAGCTCACCGGTAGAGCCTGCAGGGATGAAGATGCGACGGATGTTGTTGTCTTCCAGCTTCTTTCCTACAGACTCACATCGGTGAGCTGCAAACACATCACAAATCATCAGAGCAGGCTGTGATGGCTTGTCATGAGCCTCACGCCATGACTTCACGTACGGCACGATAACAGCATCGATGTACTCAAGCATGGTCTGCTCTGTACTCCAGTGCGGCGCACTTTGCGATACATTCCAGTCATCCGGGAAGGTTACTTTCGGGTGGCACTTCTTCGTCTTCCCCTCGTACAGCACCTGGGGTGGCAGAAGACATCCGGACGCAGACACAGCCAGAAGGATTGTTATCTCTCGTTTGTCATCCTTCCCCACCACCGCGACTTGTTTGCTCCCCTTCTCTGCCAGGGTCCAGGAGCTTACTGGTACGAGCTTCGTGCCAGTCTGATCCCAATTGACGATCAGCTCAAGCGGAATCGAGTTCGTAGTCACTACCTCCTTTAGGGGTCGTCGCAAAAGTTTTCTGTCGTCCCTGAAACGAACATCGTTCATTTCGTACTTGGACCCCCTCCCCTCCCTCTGAAACGAACACAGCTTGCTATGCTGGACGACGAAAATCGCATGCATGTACATGTCATATGTACAGTGTCGGTCGACTTGCGATTTTGGCTCGCACCCCCTCCCCCCCCCCCCCCCCCCAAATGAATCATGTTCGTTTCAGGGACGACAAAAAACTTTTGCGACGACCCCTTACTTTCTCCAGGAAAGCAAGTTTCTGCGCCGGAAAGTCAGCAGGCAGTTTTCGAGCAGCCTTGGTAGCCTTCCGCTTCACAAATCCGTGACGCTGACGAAAGGAGTCGGCCCAGTCCTTCGTGAGGACAACTGTTCCGCCGTTTTCTCTCAACAGCAAGGGCTTACGGTGCGCGACGATTCCCTTCGCGCCAGCGATGATGATACTTGTGCTGACGCAGCCACCAGCTTGTCGCAAAGCCTTTACGTATTCAGCGACTTCACCGTCCAGGTCGCCAAGCTTCGACATTAGAATTGTCTCAGCTAGCGGCTCGAAAAAACCCGAAGGCGATCCGACGTCGGAGAGCAGAGACATGAGACTCGAACTAAATTCGCTCAGCAGAGTCAACTCGAGCGCGTGCATTTTGAACTCGTTTTTAGGGGTTTTCCCTGACTCGCGGCCCACGCAGCTACAGATAGTTCACGTCATCGCAAAGGCATGTTTCTCAGCTCTCCAGTAAAAAAATTGAGCGATCTGTGATGCAATTTGTTGAAATGGCAGAGAATTTGAGTTGGGCGCTCGCAATGCTAGCTCTGAAGCGCCGTATCGCGCTGCGGCGCTGGTTCTGTGGATCGAGTGATGGATTGCTGGCTATCGCTGTGTTCCTCTGGCCAAGAGCTTTCCAGAAAGCTCAAGATCACCAAAATCGGCCAAAGGACACCAAAGTTACGACCAGATAAGTAACTGAGCTCGCGTATGCAGCGCATTTCTTGAAATAATTGTGGGCCCTAAGGGGTCGTCCGCAATTATCGAAAGTTTTTTCCAATCCGTAGTAGCTTCGAAAGTGGGTGGGTGGGTCAAGGCCAGTTACGGATTGAAAAACTTCCGAAATGACACGTGCGCGTGCCACGTGTACGTCTACGTGTAGCCCCTGTTTTCCACGCACGGCTGCGCGCGAACTGTCTACTACAAATATTTTTGTAGTTCTGGCAGTTTCTGCGCCCCCGCGCGCGCTTCCTTGGCTGCTCCTAGATCCTGGGCCGGGGATCATAAAGTTCGGCGCATTCGACGGCGAGTCGACACTTTCTATTTTTGAGTTTCACTGTCTCCTTCGTCCAGAGTACCGTCTTCCATGCACTCCTTTGAAGTCCTTCCGTCTAGCGGTGGCGCTGACGACTGTTATTGACTATGTCCAGACAGGCGACGTTGTTTGGAAAGGCGGTGAAGAAGCAGCCCTTTTTCAAAACCGCTGGTGACTCTGATTATTACAGAACAATAAATTGCTTGTGGCAGTTGTCCAAGACGACGAACAAGGATGTATTCTTTGCCGAAGCGAAAAAGGACTGATTGAGTTTGTTCCATATGTGTTGGGTTGTGTGTTCATCAATAATATTTTATTACGGACTGGGGGGGGGTGGGTGGGTGGGTGAGGAAAAATTTGAAGCTACTACGGATTGGAAAAAACATTCGATAATTGCGGACGACCCCTAAAGGGTTAAAGTCTTTGGTGAAAATGCCAATTGATGGGGGCCTTTGTTTGTGTTTTTTAAACTTTTTTTTTCGTTCTGCGGTGCACTGTGCAGCACGCGTTTGTGTTTGTATGACAACTGTATCACAGCTCATGTTCACATGAAGAAAAGACCGCAGGCGTTTGTCAGAAAGAATGGCATTTGGAACCTCTCCCGTGTGGTCCATTTGTGCACAGGGTTTTGTTTGTGTTCTCCCCTGACTGATATTTGGTGATGTGTGTATGTTCTTTGTTTTCGTCGTTGAAGGTTCGAACCATTGAACGATGCATGGAGATTCCCCATCAAGGTGCATTCTGCGGTAAGTTTTTTTTTCATCTGCAGGCAAGTTGCCAGCATTAGCCCAACAGCATGAGAATTATTATTTTTGTGTTTTCAAAATGCTGGTTGAATGAATCTCACTAGATTGCTGCATCATTTTCAACTCATTTTATGATGTGAGCGTTGGATGATTCGGATGAGAGATCTCTGCATGCTGCTGTACAGCTGCACACAGTGACAGTCTCTGCTTACTGCATGTACAGACACTGTGTTCATAACGTGGAGATTGGTAATACACTGTACTCTCTTGTATAAAGACTTGTCTCGCATACAAGACTATGTGAATCCAAGCCTGATTTTCAAGATGGAACATCGGCATGTAGGCCTGGTTTTAGTGTTGACATGATCTGCGTTGAAATACCAGGTTTTGAATCCCAACGTGATTTGAATAGAGGCCTAGCACTGACATCAGCGTCTACAGGTATAAGCCCAGCCTTTGTACGCAACGTTACGGTACGCATTCTATTCTGATAAGGGCCGGGTTCCACTGCGGCTCCGCTGCTTCGCAGCACTTGGCTGCATGCAGCGGAGCAGCGCGGTTCCACTGACTCTCGCCATTCGCGGTACCGCCATCGTGCTCCACATTTTGTTGATGACGTTTTGCCTTCTCTCGTGTTCTGGCCTGCCCAACGAATTAAACTTTGAATACGGAAATTCTCGCGTACAAAAACAGGTCGAGCCGCGACCGCGGCTCACAGTTTTTGATCAAGAATCGTAGCAAAAGCTCACGGTGAGCCGCGGCCTCACTGCTCCAGCTCGAGCCGCGGTCACTATGGTAATGATGGCGTTTCAAGCCGCGAAAGACGAGCAGCAAAGCCGCAGTGGAACCCGGCCCTCAAGGCCAAAAATGGTGTCGTAAAGTACAGCTGCAAGTGGTTCTTCTAGTGCGGCATGGCAGAGTCATACAGAGAAATGATTGTAAACATTCTACCAGCAAAGGAAATCTAGGTAGGCATTTGGGGAGTTGGGCGCTCTTGTGGAGTTTTCTTTGTGCATTTAACATTACCAGTGTACCGCTCTTGTGGTTATCTGCTGCTGATGTTGACTTTGTTAGTCCTGGGTGAATTCAATTTGACTGTGTTTGTGCGTCTGTCTTTTTTTTTGGTGGCGATGTTCCTAGATCTGGTGTGGTCAGATCCTGACGACGTAGACACATGGGCTGTTAGTCCCCGTGGCGCTGGCTGGCTATTTGGTGGCAAGGTCACAGATGAGGTAAGAGTGTAGTACTCACATGGTGTGATACATTGAACTTAAATGTACCGGCAGCATGCTCTGGTGGTGAATTAGGTAACAGACCGATATGAACCTGCAGGGGATTTCTGTACAGGTTTGTATACTCTTGCGTTCTCTCGTACTAGGGTTTAAATGTGCCAACTCCCCAGCATTCAAGAGTCCTCCCGTACTGCAGCGTTATGTATTATGTTCATGTATTATGTTCAAGTGCTATCACTATTCCTAGCTCTTTGCTCTTCATGTGCGGTGGTGGTGTTGTTGTTGTTGCAGTTTGTTCATATCAACAACATTGGTCTGATTTGCCGCGCACATCAGCTGGTGAACCAGGGGTATCGCTTCATGTTTGACGACAAGCTCATCACCGTCTGGTCTGCACCCAACTACTGCTACCGGTGCGGCAACGTCGCGTCCATCCTGGAATGTGAGACCACCACCAAGTACGAGCCGAAAGTCTTCCGCGCTGTTCCGGCCAGCGAGCGGCGAACACCGAATCGCGTTGTGACGCCCTATTTCTTATGAAGCATCTTCTCATAGTGTTAGCCATCGTCGTATGGTGATCTGCTCTCTCTGTCTTACGGTGTGAGCATCGTATGACCGCGTAACTAAGACAGTGGCAGTTATTTTTTCTGACTGTAGACGTGTTTTCAATGCCCTGTAGGCCATGATCTGCTAGCAACTAGCCACACAACTTATAGGTTTCTCTGCCGTGTTTGACACACGCTTGGTATTATAGTTATGGTGCCGTTCTGCTGCTTCTAGTGTACTTGTTGGTACACGCTCCGAGAGCTTCTGTCCCCCCCTCTCTCTCTCTCTCTCCTTGGCGGTCATGTCGCACTGAGCAGTGTCCTTGTCAGCATTGGTGTTGCCTTCGCCTTGTCTACTAGTATTTGGTGAGTTCTCGATTCGGAGCTCAGTCACAATTGGCCATGTGCAATGTAACTCGACCTTTTTTTCTTGCCCCAGTACCTCCGGACTATAGGCAAACAGCTGAGCTGTTGTTATTAATATTATTGTCCTGTTCTTGTTTTCAGTTCTTTCATCTTTTGGTATTGTTGTTGTACATTGCTAATCTTGATTATCAGCTAAGAATTAGCATGCTTTTATGTTCTCACTATCATCATTGTAGCATGGCTTGTAACTTGTTTCATTTCTTGACATATTTACACGAAACGGGATAATTCTACATATTGCTCTGCTTTCTTCTTTTATTTTGCGCCATAAAAATGCTACACAACGCGTACTTTTATTTGCATACAAACTCGCTACGTGCATCGGCCTACTCCAAGCATAGACTCAGACCTGATAATGTCCAACCAGCATTCCGTGCTTCTAGTCTGACGGGTGATGCATTTGGCCGGGTACAAGCCATATGCGGGGTCTCTCGTCTCTCTCTCGCGCGCTTGGGTTTTCTAATCGAAGAATAAAATTTATTTGTAATTTGTGCAGTAAGACGTCTCTGCGAAGCAGTTACATAATCTGGTTGCGACGTCAACAAAAACACTGGTCGGAAGATCCACTTTTCTGAGGTACTGTGTGTGGGACTCCGTTTATTTGCGGGGCGTTGAAATCTATTCTCTTTATCTTTTTTCTATCATTTCCCCATATGAGTTCCTATCAGTTGCTGTGAACCAGGGAGTCGTATGGTATTTTACGACTCCCTGCTGTGAACACCTTGATTGGAGAGCGCTTGCTCGAGCGTTGAACCCGGGATCTTAATCCACCATTCCCAGTTCGCAAGGCTGGGCGGGGTTGTGAGCAGGCTTCCATTTTCATCTTTTCTTATTATTTCTGCTTTTCATCTCATTACAAAATTCTGTGCTTTTTATCTCCATCTGCGCATAAAATCTAGACTGACAACCTGGTTGTTAAATCATGCACCTGCTTTCAGGCGTAAAAACCCTGTTGTAGAGGTCTCAGTCCTCATTTCTTAGACTTACATGTACCTGTCTTTATAAACTTTTCTAAGCACTCGCAGACTCCATTGCAGCCACTCGCACATTACAGGGTACCTCACTTCAAACTCTCCAACTACGGTCTCTTCGCTGCATACGTTCACTTCAGTCTTCACTTCCAAAAAATGAGATATAAATTGAATGCACCAAAAAAAAGAAGAAGATCGAGATATTTTACGAGACAACGACTACCCACAACACGCTATTCAAGCAGCCAGGCACCATGCAAGCACACCAAGACCACCATCCACCAGACAACGACAACAATCGTACACATCCATCATCAAACAGTTTAACTGCCCTTCGTCAATGATCGTTTGGCACGTGATGTTCGTCGTACGGTGAGGTCTTTCAGTAAGGATGTGCGTGTACACGTGTGGTGTTCCAGTCAGGTCGGTCAGTCGGTCACTCAAGGGCCGATTTCCACTACGGTACCGTGAGTGCCGTGCCGTGCCGTGAGTACCCAGGCTCGGCTTTCACAGCACAGACTATATAGACGGACTCATCTTCTTCTTTTGTGATCAGTGTGCAATTGAACTGTCTTTTTTTCATTTTTCTGTTTATTCCTTTTACCACCCGTACGCGTAGGCCATCCCCTGGATCAGGGAGTCGTAAAATACCGGTATTTTACGACTCCCTGCCCTGGATTATCAAGATGGGTGCTTTATTATTTTTCTGTTTTTCAATACGCTTCTTCTTTGTGCGAGTCTAGTTTTTGGATGATTGATAGCGTTCTACTTCTAAAAAGAAAAAAGAAAAAAAGATTTGCTCACGTGAGGGGCAGTTTTGGCGCGAGTTCATTCCGTGGGTCATGCCGTACCGAGCCGTGGACATTCCGGTGCCGAGGGCCTCTGGGGGGGGGGGGGGGGGCGGGGGGGGGGGGGGTGGAAATGGCATGCCGTGGTATTCCGTGAGGTCGAATACAGTGTGTAGTAGGTATTTTACTACTCCCTGATAGGAAGTTTTTTCTTTCTTTTGTATTTGTGGTACAAAGTTTTTACTTGGCTTTTGGCTTTTCGATTGGCTGATTTTTGAGCTTTCTCTAGTCATCTCCCCTTTATTTTTCCTCAAGACCAAAGTCAGAAATTGATAGAAATGGTGATCCGCCTGCCAACGGAATGCACGGAATGACTGTGCGCAGATGTAAATCACTTTCAGCTTCGAGCTCGTACCGTAGGGTACACGTGACCTACCAAAATCGCCGGCACGGCACTCACGGTACCGTAGTGGAAATCGGCCGGGACATGTTGGTATCGTCATCATTGTCCCGTCCTGAATAGGCTCCGGCGGATTATGCTCGCGAAATCATGGAATTATGCTTTCATGGATTCTCGCATTATGCTCGCAAAATCCTCATATTATGCTTTGGCACGCGGGGATACATATTCACTTTGTTGTACTTATGGAGCCCCAAAATTCGGAAAAATGTGCCTTTTTTGTACTTGCAAGTGGCCATAAGTACAATAATATGTTACACGAGTATCCCTATACCAAGGTGTCCATGCATGCTAGTGATTATCATGGAAAGGGGAAAACATTACTTCAGTAAAAATAATATTTTTTTCATTGCCAAATCAGTTTGAGTTACCTTTGAAAATTATCATGTTCAACTATCTTCGTAATCGTCATACTCGTCCAACCGATATGTCACCCTCACCCTGCGAATAATCAGCTCATCTCTTCCGTAGCTCCACCTCTCCTTCCATCATGACCGAACACCAACTACACGGCCTCAATTTTTTTAATTATTATACCGTAGGAATGTCCGAAGCCTGCACAGACATAGCAGCTAAAATCCAGAGGTCATGACTTCGTATCATGAATAATGAACATGTACGCAGAGTCAGTCAGTTTGCGGACTACCCGTCACTATCTCGTCCGCCCCAGGATACCTGATAAAGGCTGATTCACTCGCATCTTCTGCTACATGTACTGCATCAGTGTGAGAAAGAACTGACCTTGAAGAAGACGAGTTCGACCATACAATAATGTATTGCCATGATTTCTACCCTGCTTTTCATTGAAAACACTGTCTCAGTATCTGCAGTGCATGCCCTCCAACTTCAAGCCCTTTACCATGCAGACCACCAGGACTGATCGGGTGCATTGTACACAATTGTGTAGCCTGCATACTAGAACTGTGGTACAATCATGTAGTTATGCTCCTACACCGAAAGGATGCCAAATTATGCTACAAATTTTCAACCACCAAATTATGTCAATAATTATGCCGGCATAATCCGCCGGTGCCTAGTCCTGAATGCCCGAAGGAAGTGTATGAAGAGAAGAGGGAGGGGGCGACCATTTTTTTATTTTATTTATTTTTTTACTATTGACACAGCCATACTAACAGGTGGAGAACAAAAAGAAACGAGGAAAAGGGCAAAACATAGGGGATGTAGGGACGACGCGCTGATGTGCTGGGAGCAACTCAACAGACCAGAGGTCTTGGCGTCAGCGTTGCAACTAGGCATCGAAAAATGGGTGAGGGGGGGGGGGGGGGGGTTGCACAAGAACAACTGCAAAACAAACAGAAGCTAGAGAATACCCGGTGCGACAGAAATAATAACTTGGTGCGAAATAATGAGAAGAAAATGATGACGCCCAAAAGCGCTAAATACGAAATTAAGAAAAAGGGAAATCATAAACCATAATTTGAATGTCGTGCATGTGATGCTGGTATGGAGAGTGGTCAATGTTTGTCTCAGGATGTTATCTACTCGATGTTATGTGCACTTTGCGCCGAGGAGTACGTTGGCGAGACCGAGCGAACTGCAAGGAAGAGATTTGAGGAGCATTGCAGAGAGGCCAAAGCGCAAGCACTGGAGACGCCATGGGGAGAACGCTATGCAGAACACCACCCACAAAAAGCAATCACATCTATACCCATCACCAACGCATCAATTCTCGCCAAACAGTCGTCCCTTGTGAATCGTCGTATACGTGAAGCAATGTTCATTCGTGATAGACGTCCAAGTGTTAACAGGGATCGTGGCTGGAGACTGCTGGACACAGTGTGAAATTATTGTGTTAGATGTTGGTGTTGTAAATTGTGGTAGACTGTGATGTTGCGAATATATGGCACGATATACTTTATGTTTATGTGTGGTGGCTGGTTATATTATACTTAGCAAATATTTGTCGTCATCTTTGTCTTCACACCCATGGATCCAGCTACATTGCATACTTTGCATTCTATTCTCCATGTCGCACTAACACATATTCACACTTACAGACACAGCTCTCCACTTGTCTCCTTCGCTCCTTCCCTTTCTACCAACACACTTCACCATTGCTGCTGGTCACCACACTTCTCGTGCTTTCCCTTCCTTTCTCCCGACAGCTTTCACCATTGCTGCTACCCTCCACACATACAAACATTTCCAGCACTACCGCACCACACAGCATATCTACTCGTTTCAGTTTTTGTTGGCTTTAGTTGAATGGTTTTTCACCCTGAAGATGGGCCATGCCCGAAAATTTGGTGCATTCAATTATTTAGGCTACCCAGAATAGACCAATCCCGAAAAGATTGTCTGGGTTCGAAAGGGGGCATGTCAACTGAGAGTACACTGTACAACACATACATGGCACTACCTGATCAGCATGCGGCACAGGACGTGTTTGATAGTTCGTGTGTGAATGCGGGGGTAAGTACACGGTTTTCTCGTTAGTTGCATGCAAGAGAGACGATGCGACAGAAAGCAAAGCCCTTTGTAGTTTTCTCTCTCTCGCACTGGTAATGGTCTGCTGTTGGAGTTGAAATGCTAAGACATAATCCTTGTTTCGCTCTTCTGTGTAGTGCGAAGAGGTCAACGAACATGTAGAGCTCACTTTGATGAAGTAGGCAAGGCTGTGGCTCAAAGCGATACGCCCTAAATCTTACGAGATATTTCGAGTGCTATTGTTTGTTGCAAGCGCTTCGCCTTCGATGAGTCCTGTCTCTTTCCAGGCAGGTGCCCTCCTATACTTCTGCCCATGGCGTCCCTCTCTCAGCTCGTCAACAGTCACTGTCATCACCATGACACTGTCGCGAGAAGGTGCTCTCTGTAGACGAGGTTGGTGATGTCCCGACGTGGCCATGGGTAGGCAGGCCTTCACCACGTCGGAACACCCCGGCTGCACGTTGGTTACCTCCACTAGTCCCGCCAGGAAATAACTTGCCACGTCGGGACATCACAAACCTCGTCTACAGAGAGCACCTTCTCACGACAGTGTCATGGTGGTGACAGTGACTGTTGTCAGCTGACGAACTGAGAGAGGGACACCATGGGCAGAAGTTGGAAGAAGAAAAAGATTTAAGAAAAACAATTCAGGTTACAGTAGCTACTCGACTATCAGGACGACATCCAGGAGCTATCAAAGAATACACGACTGACGTAAGGAGAAGTCTAAAACTCCCCTAGCATAATGAGGGTCAGAACCGGCAAAAACCCTGCAATGGCCACGCAAAGTGGCCATTGGCTACCCCAGCCATGTATTGCTTGGAATAAAATAAATAAAATAAAACACCCATATGGTTCAGATGGTCCCAACGGACCGGGGCTCTGCCAACCGTGGATGGTTGTAGTAAGGTCACTGTTTCCGAACACAGTGTCCTCTAGGGTCCAGCGGATTCTGCCGGCAGAAAAATTGGCAGAATTCGGTATTTTTTCTGGTAAGTTTCATGCATGTTTGGTATATGGATAAAGAAATGGAGCAGAATTCGAGGAATTGCCCGCCATAAGGTTTGTATGGTTCTGCCCATTTTACTGCTTTTCGAGCAGAATCTGCAACCTTTTCGAGCATGATCCGCCGGTCCCTAGACTGTCCTCCACCTTGTTTCATGCTGTCAAACTAACAACATGTGTGAACTTACTGAACTACTTGGTATAACAAGGTTTATCTAATACAGTCGTCCCTCTCTAATCCGGCACTTGTTTATCCAGCACCCTTATAAACCAGCACACTTTCTGGCAAAACGGATTTTTTAAGTTCATTTTCTACGCTTTAATCCGGCACTTGAATTCCGCCTCCAGCAGCGATTTTCTGCAACAAATCACTCAAACTGTACACAATTCGATTTTCTAATACAGCAGTTGTACATCGCATACCGTCAGAGAGCATTGTAACATACATAACACATGTACCATACAGTTGGGAATATCCTATGCACTCGTATCCCCAAGTGTATGTTATAGATATGCATTCCACGAAGTACTTGGATTGACACTGAAAATCCCTACGTTTTGACGTACGACACAAACATGTACGTTAACTCATGTGGGCCGGGTTGGAGGGCAGGATTTTATAATCCAGCATCCTTGTTTATCCAGCAGAAAATGCCGTTGCAAAAGGTGCCGGATTAGAGAGGGACGACTGTACTAGTATTGAACTATTATCACTCCCTTAGTATTGACTCCCATAGATTTTTGCCATACCTAAGCAGTCAAATATTCCTGCATATTTCACTCCTTAGGGCTATATTGACCGCTTATATTTGACTCTTTTTTAGCGATTGAACACAGGCTTTGGCTAGTCGTGATTTATCTAATATTGACTTCGTACTTGGTCAGTATAGGAAATAAGAGACCTCGTAAAAGATCTCGGCTTCGCCTCGGTCTTTTACTCGGCTTTTATTTCCTATATTGACCTTGTACTCAGTCAATATTAGATACGCATTGGGTTATAATTCGACATACATGTACCTGTAAGAAGACTGGAGTTCGTTGGGTGTCATGGTGAAAGTGGTTACCATTGGAACGTACCACGCTTACAGTCCTTGAACGCAGTGCCGTGGGCTAGAGCTAAACTGATGACAGCTAAGCGATGTGCTGGTGAAACCAGTGCTGACCGTGGTTGCCACAGCAGAGCGGTGAAAGCAGAGCATACACCTAACCTAACACTGACCTGTTATTTGTGACTGGTGTCGTTAGCATTACTATGCCCGTCTTGGAGTCGAAGGGATTTGGACCTGTAACTCTGGCACTTCTGATATTGGCAGACACCCGTACAACCGTATCTCTAGTCTACCTCCCTGGACAACAGAAGGTAACAATTATTGACGCCTGCGAGGGCATCAGAGATACTATGCATGTTATCGTTAATTTTGCACTAACATACATTTCACAACTTTCTTCACAAATTACTGCCGAAGTCACACCATTTCAGTTCACATTAAATATTTTCAGGAAAATCCAATGTACTGTAGATCTGCTCTTGTAAGCAATAACATTCAAGAAGAGCTCATTTTAGATTCGGGCGGTGATGCAGCTAGCTAGCGGCAACCTAAATTCTAGTTGGGAGTGTCAGGATCCTCTATAAATGTCCCTAAAGAGCACTTAGATATCACTCAAGCTCGTGGTGATGCGCACAAGATGTATGCTGATCTACTCGTGTGCCCATACACATCTGTTCAGTCTCAAGATGGTTGCACAGAAGGTGAGATGTTATCTATACTTGTGAGGGGAAACCAAAATAGATATTCAACTTCGTGCATTGTAGCTAGCTGCTTTGCTAATTGATGCCTGGATCAACACTAGGGTCCAGACCCTCCAGTAGGCTTTCGTTAAATTCCTGTTCTAGAATTGCCCAGATATCTAGGTTGTAATCATCCTCCTGTTCTGAAGGCAGTGTGGATGCGGGCACACTTGTGGTGGTAGTGCTTTGCTGTGCTGTGGTGACGACTTGTTCATGCACCGCTCTGTTCTCAGAAGGTGCCTGCTGTTCCAAGCTGAGCATGATGAAGATCACCTCACCAGTGCGATTGCAGATTTCATGCAGCTCCGAGGCATGAACATCAACATACTCATCATCTCTATCATCATTAGCATCACTGGGCTGCGCCAGGTAGAACACATTCCCGTCGGTGGTTTCTTCAGACGCCGCCAGGTTAGGCGATGTCTCCTCATCCACTTCTCCGAAAAGCAGCTGATTGTCCTTTTCTGCCACCTCCAAAGGCTTAAGAGCTATTGGTGAAACCTTGTTGAAGCCGGCCTTTGAATCTGTCATGATAGTGTTGTGTGGCATTCTTTGAACAGACATCTGCCGCTTTCCTCTGTTCAGGGTCTGTTTTAGCGCCTGTTGGAGGAAAAAACCAACCGTATCTTGACTAGGTCGGTGCGTCGTAGATGATGGTGTAATTGGGACTGTCGCCGTTGCAATCTCTCTCTGCACTGGAATATGTGAGGGTGTCGCTTCCGGAGTACTGGGTGGTCGTGGACGACGTTGCATCACAGCCAAGCGAAGGAAATATGCGCGCAGTGACTCGCTGAGAGGCGATGCAGTGGGAGACGTGCGTGTCTCTTCTGTTGAAAAGGAAGGTGGCGAAGTCGCTACTGACGTCATCTGTGGCATTGGATGTCTTGTTGCGTGAGGAGGCATCCGGTCTGGTGGTTGTAGTATAGCTTGCATTGTGAGTTTGCGTTCTGCCTGCTCCCTCTCTAAGAGGCTTGTCCCATTGCCCGGTACTGATGCAGGTTGGGTTGAAGCCAGTGTTACCCTGCGTACTGGATGGTCGGTAGTTGCGTTCGATGATGCTGTCACTATTCCACTCTGCACTGGTGTCGGCTGTGACTCCTCAGCGGTGGTACTGGGCATATGTGGAGCTAACATCGACAGTGGCATAGGTGTTAAATTATTACATCCGTGGCTGGCATCGTATAGAATAAACTGTGTTGACGCCAATAGCGGGCGTGGACTCTGTGCAGCTCTTTCCGGACAACTTATTGTCAGCGTATATCCTGTGTTGATTGTTGTGATGACAGTGATCACGCGACCAGGGTATTTGAGACTTTCCAGCTGTGTGTTTCCATTGCCATCCAGGATAATATGGAAGAGCAAGGCGAGATCAGGGCTGCCAGGATCATCATCCTGTCAACGCAAAAACGAGATCAGACCAAAAGATCGGGTGGTGAGTCTAATTGCCACTTGCATAACAGTTTTCAATGAATATTGTTGTTCCTGTGATCCAACATTTTCAACTTGATTGGACTGAATTGGACGTGGAAACCAGGGCATTATCTTTACTTCAGGCTGAGGCTTGGTTTTAAATCAATGGCCATGCACTGGTTTTCATGTCCAATTCAGTCCAATCAAGTTGAAAATGAATGTTCTGCTGGCTGACTGTGTCACTGTGCCACCGTGTGTGTCAAATGGCGCAGGGTCAGCTTTAAAGGGCGAAAGAGTGTGAATCTGCTCGGGAATAGTGATCGTTGCCTTCAGCTATAACCGAGCGATCGATCTGGTGCTATTTCTGAAACCAAAATATCTATTGTGAAAAGAAGAAGGACAAAAATGTTACGAGTTATGACTAACTGTAAACCACATTTTGTCCTTCTTCTTTTCACAATAATTTAATTGGCTCACCATCCGAGTCAAAACATCTATATGTGTACACTTTCATTTTTCACTGGTTTGAGGGAAAGACACCGAAGGACGTACCCAGAAGGCTGACAGTGCTCAACACCACGTGTTGCCTGATGATTGCGTGAGCATGAAACTTAAAGTAGCAGCAAACAAGCCTTGATTGTCCTTGTTGTTCTGTTGTGAGGGAAAGACACAAATTTTCCTAATAAATTTATCCACAGGTGTCTAACATCCTTAGGCCCGCATCTGTTTTCATGTACTCTCTAGTAAACAACTCACGATTCACAAGCGATGCAATAGAGGTGGGAGAGCTGGAGAGTTGTGGTTGAATTTTGACGTCACATTGTATTCAAATAATCTACGTGGAGATAAAAGTTTAATAATAGCAATGAAAAGTATGAATGCCGCAGACATCACCACGCAACATGACAATTTGTTCAAGGTTTGGTTTTGTGTGTTTCCAAAATCGATTTTCACGTTGCGATCATCAGTGGAAATACGCAACTAAAGAGATCAAGGGAAAACAAAGGTTAAAAATCCAAAGAAGTGTGACACATGACGGGTAACTTGTGGTAAGTATTACAAAAAGTGAGAACTAAAATAAAGAGTAAGTGTGACAAACGGGCATGAACAGTGCAGAAACAACTCATGAACACGGGGTGCAAACTCACGAAAATAACCTAAGTGCTAAAACATGTTCTTTTTGCTTACACAAATCGGGCTTATGCGTACGAATACAAACAGCTTCAAGGACCTTCAACTGCTGGACATAACGGGCACGACACAGTACAGAGAAGTGGGAATCATCATACACACTCAAACAATCGGGACGAGATAACAAATGCAAATACACAGCTGACTTCTTACGAATTTCACCCTCATCAGCTCCATCACCTTCCCTGCCACCTGACTCCTCCTTGTCCGTTTTATCACCATCACCACCAGCCGTCTCTCCGTCATCCGCCTCGTCTTCATCCGCCGCCTCGTCATCACCCGCCTCGTCGTCATCTGTATCCTCGCCGTCATCCGCCTCGTCGTCATCTGTATTCTCGTCATCCGCCGCATCATCACCCAACTCATATTCACCACCAGTCAGTCGTCTGATACCATCCATGTTCTCCTTCCTACGTCTGTCCCGTGTCACTGTCCTTACCTCATCTACGTCCCGAGATTGTGTTCCGTTTTGCCCCCGGCTTCCGGTCTCCTTCGATGCTCCGCGTGGGCCTTGGCCATTCCTAGCATATATTTCGGTTGAATAATTGGCGGTCGACCTCCGTGGTCTCTGGACCCACGGATCAATCGCCGGAGGGTGCTGCGGTGTCCGCACAACCGGATACTGTGTCAAAGAAATGGGCTCAATTTCTGTGATTGGCGGTACTGTTGTTGTTGCCGACTCCTCCCCAACCCCAGCCACCAACGGCACTGGTGGTGGCTCCGGTGGCGGCAAGGGCAACGGTGGAGAAGGCACATTCGGTTGGCTTAGTGATCCACCACTCTTCCTCTGCACCGTGTGTTCGACTTGCTCTGGTTGTGTCGGTGGTAGAGGGAGACCAGAGACCACGGAGGTCGACCGCCAATTATTCAACCGAAATATATGCTAGGAATGGCCAAGGCCCACGCGGAGCATCGAAGGAGACCGGAAGCCGGGGGCAAAACGGAACACAATCTCGGGACGTAGATGAGGTAAGGACAGTGACACGGGACAGACGTAGGAAGGAGAACATGGATGGTATCAGACGACTGACTGGTGGTGAATATGAGTTGGGTGATGATGCGGCGGATGACGAGAATACAGATGACGACGAGGCGGATGACGGCGAGGATACAGATGACGACGAGGCGGGTGATGACGAGGCGGCGGATGAAGACGAGGCGGATGACGGAGAGACGGCTGGTGGTGATGGTGATAAAACGGACAAGGAGGAGTCAGGTGGCAGGGAAGGTGATGGAGCTGATGAGGGTGAAATTCGTAAGAAGTCAGCTGTGTATTTGCATTTGTTATCTCGTCCCGATTGTTTGAGTGTGTATGATGATTCCCACTTCTCTGTACTGTGTCGTGCCCGTTATGTCCAGCAGTTGAAGGTCCTTGAAGCTGTTTGTATTCGTACGCATAAGCCCGATTTGTGTAAGCAAAAAGAACATGTTTTAGCACTTAGGTTATTTTCGTGAGTTTGCACCCCGTGTTCATGAGTTGTTTCTGCACTGTTCATGCCCGTTTGTCACACTTACTCTTTATTTTAGTTCTCACTTTTTGTAATACTTACCACAAGTTACCCGTCATGTGTCACACTTCTTTGGATTTTTAACCTTTGTTTTCCCTTGATCTCTTTAGTTGCGTATTTCCACTGATGATCGCAACGTGAAAATCGATTTTGGAAACACACAAAACCAAACCTTGAACAAATTGTCATGTTGCGTGGTGATGTCTGCGGCATTCATACTTTTCATCACATTGTATTGTATTGTATTTATTTAAAAGGATTCTCCAAAAGCAAATGGATGCTTATCACGGAAGTCTCCCACATAAATATCGCAAGAAAAATGGGGAAATGGGGGAGAGGAGAGTGGAAGATGAAGCATGGGAAGAAGGGAAACAAGTACCTAAATATCGAGGTATAAAAGCAGGAAAGAAATCGACGAGTGAAGAAATCACCTCTGCAGATAATAGCGGGACATTTAGATGAAAAAAAACCCAGCAAGGATTAATTTCAAGGAAAAAAAATTTCTCAAACGGAAAAGTTCGGAATTCCAGTCAGAGAATATCTATGCTGTGAGTAATGAGCCTTTAGAGCAATACGAAAATTGACAGAGGACTGAACGCAGCGGATGTGTTCTGGAAGTTTGTTCCATTCCACAGATAAACTGAAGAGAGGGGATTTAAGGAAATGGGCGCCAGAACGAGGTAAAACTATAGAGGACGGGTGACGACAACTAAGGGATACATTGAATTTGAAACGAAACATGATTGCATATCACTGCCTGAATGGCTAGGGCATTCCCCCAAGGACATGGGACCTTAACAAGTGTGTACATTCAGCGATACTTCGAAGTATGATGTTTTGTTATCGAAGGGCGACTTTTCATGACATCACTCAGTTTACATACAATGTAGGCTTAGGTTCTGCGAAAGTGCTCAATACCTGATTCAGGCAGAGCGGCGCACACAAAGGCACACAATGAAACCCTTGGCAAATTCCGTTGTGACTCAGAGTTTTCATGGCTGAACCAATTATCAGGTAACGATGTCTGATGTTGCCTGATGATTGACATAGGAATTTTCGTTGACTGAATCTAGTCACACACAGCGACACATCAGTAGTACATGTGTCAAGTGAACCTCTGGCTGTAGACTTGTACATTGCACCACCTGGCGTCGCTAATTGCTTACCATACATTGTATTATAATAGAAAACTTTAAAGGAGCGGTGTCGATACTTAATCCCCCCCCCCACACACACACACACCACCCCCACCCTACCCACGCAGCCCCCCCCCCCCCCCCCCGAGGACTCACGACCATTACCCTCTACTCTCTAGGCGCTGGCCTCTGGTACCCACATCTCACCCTCTCTGTTGATACATTCAAAGCACAATGTCATTCAGTTATGCTGTACACTGTGTTGAAAATAGTTCTACTGAGTGTACCTACTTCAGTAGTAAAAATATTACCTAATAAAAACGATAACACAAACCGATGTCTCGATTGGTGTCGCCATGTGTCTTCTTGTAGTGACTACCCACCGGATATACAGGGACTTGGACTAAAATGTGTAGATCTGTATGGTTCTTGGAAGCAGGTACACCATACTGAATATCCACAAGTAGTCCGCAAGGATCTCAGCACAATGTCGTTTAGCGTCGAGTTTAGGATTCAGCTTGTGCCATTATTAATTAAAAACATTACTGGTAAACGGCTCCGCGTTCAGGGCGGGTTAAGAGTTAAGAGTTTCTGTGGAACGTCACCAGCCCATGATAAGGCGTCACGAGCAGCTTCTAAACTGTGGGGGAGGAAAGATCAGAATCACTAACCAGTGGCCAAAGTCCAAATTCCCATTTCCCGCATCCATGTTACCCTTGTGCCAGTCCACACGTTCCAAATTCACTGTGTGTCGCAGCACAGTTGGTTGGAAAAATCCACCCACTTCCAAGCAGGACATGAACCTGGTACCTGTCGTTTCTCAATCATGATCTTGGACCAACCCACTGCGCCTGCCCACCATGTGCCATTATCACCACAGACATGTAATTACAAGTGTAGCGAGGAGCTCATTCACTCACTGGACTGGCGGCTACTAGGGAGCACTGGTCAGTAGCTTGAAGATAATGATTGCTTCGTCGACTCTGAATGGAATAGGCAGCACTAGTCCCATTTACATCATATGCCCTGAGGTAATACGTTGCTGCATGCAAGACAGAAAATAGAAGCAAAGAACGGAAGAGGCCACTCTAAAATGCCTCCCTCTAGCATGTCGGTATGGTCACTTAGTCAGTCTTCCCTGTACATAAACCAAATCCGGAAATACATCTCGACCCACACACTCGAGTATTCTAGTTGACAAGGAACAATTATAGTGTACGTGTATGTATGTTGAGAATCATGTACAAGACTCAAGAGTGTGTTTACTGAGTCACAGTGTAGTGTGGCCCTACCAGCCCAGCCAGGCTTGTGTACCTGGGCAGCCAGCATGCATGGATATCGCCCACAAAGTGTAGGGTAGTGCCCTGGCAAACATGATTCGTAGGAACCTTTTTTTAGTGGCGTCAGTGCATGTTTTACGATGGACACCAAGCCCGCCCCTTCGATTTATCAGGTAAGAACGTGGCTACATAGTCCTTTTGTCCACATGTACATGTATGCATGGCCCTTAGCAGGGCGAACAAGAAAGTTGCCGGTTCCGTCCATTCCCGAAACATTTCGGTCTATTCTCATCCTCTTCCCTCCGATTGATTTGAAGAGTGTAATACATTGTATCACTTTTGTTCAGTCCTTTCTTGCACTGTACATTTACATTTTTCTACTTCACACCTATTCACTGCATCTCTCGCATCTCTTTCACCTTTCAAGCATTGCGTAACGAACATCTTACGAATACCGACTACTAATGTACATGTACATGTAACTACATGTATGTATTGCTTTTATTTTACATCGCAAGTCAAACGGGCAATCATGCCCAATGTTATGATGACGATGGAATGTAACTAGTTATTTAGCTAAGTAGTTCATTCCACACTAGCTACCTTTCTCTTCTTCTGTGTATGCCAGACCAGAGGTACACTGTACATGTAATTCAAGCACGTTTGGAAGTAACGTTTTATGAATTCTTGAGAATTTTTTTGTGTGGAATAATTTTGTGCCAGTATTACACAAAAACTTAGTCGTGTTACTGGTGTGACACTGATAAGGTCGGCCAGAGAGCGCCGATGACGTGGTGGATTTTAATTATTTTGACTGTTTGTGTCAGACAAGAGTTTTCAAGATCATACCATGCATTGTTTATTTTCGAACCAGAAATATTCCAATGATAGCAGAAGGCAATGACTCCTGGCTTTCGGCACACGTACACGACCCTGCACATACAGTGAAACCTGTCTAAGGCGACCCCTCAACTGGCTCAAGGGACGAGAAAAAGTGGTCGCCGTGGCCAGGTGGTCTTCTTATCCAGGTTCAGTGGGTCACGTGACCATATCCACTTGTGATACATCATTTTGATCAGTGCATCACAGTGCACACACCTACATGTATGCTACTCTAGCACGACTCATGTGCCTGGGGTCCTCAGACCTGTCAAAATTAATGTCGTGCATGCACCATGTACATCTACACTTCCTGCACTGATGTGTAGATCTACCATGCCTGGTGCACCAAGCAATGCATACATTTACATGACTAGCACAGTACAAAGCGGTCGCGGGTGGGTGGTCGCCGGTCGCGTTGAGCGAGTGGTCGCCTTATCCGAGGTGTTTTGAATGTGAATGCGTCCGTGACAAGGAAACGTGGTCGCCATGGTCGAGTGGTCGCCATATCCGAGTGGTCGCCATTACAGGTTTTACTGTGCATGTGCATGTGCATGATGTGCAGTGTGGCACTCGCGTAGTAAGCGTCCGTTTCTGCGTGAGCGAAGGTCGATACTGTACCCTGGCATCCAGAATTTGTATTGTTTTGAAGCTGCGATACAAATGTATTAGTACAGTATTGTGCTGTGATTTCGATCGACATCAGATTGTCGTACTCTTAGTCTTATGTACTATCAAATCTCCGTGATCGGTGGTTCCTGGCGAACCGTCTGCCGTTATTATCGCTTGGGTGTACATGTAGTGCGACATCTGCTTGATGGTGTCGCATGCATGGAAAGCTGTGGCATACCATCGACACTTGTCTTGAGAGCCCTCTGACACGATCTTCTGACTCTCCTCCCTGGCCCTGGGACCATTATTGTACTGCCACGCTCATGGCACGATTCTCTGATCTCCGTGGTTAGCTGAGTCATTGCTCGGGTAGTGTCCTCTGAGTGAGTGATCCACATCGATGTACATGTAGTTGCTTGAGTATTCCATGTACTTCAAGTACAATGCATGTATGATAAGAATACTATAGCCCTTGAAGTCGGTAGTTGGTGGCAGTACAGTATGTGGCATTGCATTGCAGTAAAGTTGAGTTTCAAACAGTTACATCAACCCTTTTTTATCCGGCCCCATTCTAAACAAAACACAAGCAGGAAACCACCTAGAGACTCTAAGAGAGCACAATCGCTCGCTCACCTTTCGTATTGCATCTCTTTCCCCCAGCATTGAAGAAGGTCTTGGATCGGGACAAGCGGACAAACTTTTGTGAGAGTACTGAGCGCAACGCTGCAATCCGCTCGGACCCAGTGGCAGTAGACTGAGTGTGGATGCTTGTGTCGTCAGCTTTCACCACCGGTGACTCAGTCCATATGTAGAAGATGAAAGCCAGGACCCACAAGCTGAGGTAAACATCAACCACCGGCATCTTTTCCCAACTGTGGCTGTGAGGCTTAGTAAGTATACTAATCTGAGCCCAGTGGCATACTCTGTACAATGGTCAATACAGTTTCAGAATATTCACGACCCACCAATGACCAGTGGAAGCGCCCCCATGGAGCACTTAAACCTATCCAGTACCAGACGACTAGGTGTTCTGATTCCGAGTGATGGTTGAGACAGTCTTGCGCGGCCATATTTATTTGATTGCATTATGTATGACGTACCTTTACCTAGTACTGCCCCTCGCGCTTTGAGTGCGGCCAGTCGTTTTCAAGAGTGAGCTGATATCGCAACTCAGACGCACAACATGGCGAACGCCAGGCGATAAGTGGTGTTCGGAGTGCTGTTATCCTGTTTAGTTGAATACACTGACAACACATTCTAATGAAAGATGGAGTAACTCAGGGATGTACACGATCTCGATGCAGTTCAACTACTTTCCTGCGGGCAGCTATTGCGGGAGGTGGCAAAGAGAGTTGATCTAGGCACCCCAGGGAGCTGGAGTCCAATGCTCGACAACACGAATGACATGCTGTTGTGACATTGGACACTTCAACCAATACTTTGAATCATTTCGCCCTTTGGGATGCAGAGCGTATGGTTATTACATGTTACAGTCTGGAGTAATGAGAGCCAGGAGCATTCTTTCTGCTTCTGAACCGCATAGCAGCGCAGTCAGCTGCTATGCGATTAATTAAATCTTACCCAGCCCTAAGAGGGCTGACACGAAATCCACGGCACCAAACCAATCAAGGACTAGGAGTCGTAAGATACCGTGTATATCACGATTCCCTGATAGCAATGAAGGAGATACATGTACAGTCATGTACTCGCGTAGGAAACGCATTATCAAACTAGGTATAATGCTGGGGACAGACTGTACTCGACTTGTAACATGCTGTCGAAATCTAAGACATGTAAAACTATCATTATATCAAGAAAGGCTTCTATGTATGCTGTACATGTCCATATACGTGAACAGGTAAACTGTTTCCTATGGTCGGTACGAGTAGATCTGTCCATATTCGGCGAACACTGCATGGATTACAAACTAGATTAGTGCACCCAGTGCAAGTGCACATCTGCAAGCTGAGAGGACATCGCACAGTAGATATCTAGATCTAGATGTACATGTACCTCATGCAAGTGTCCAGCAACATGCGATATACAGGGCAACATGCAACGGATGATTGCACCCATTACCCTAAATGACATCATACCTTGCAGATGTGTAAAAGATAATGATTGTGTGCATGCAGCAGACTACGGATCTAATGGCTAGGCTCTCGAGACAAGTACACATTGTACTAACCAAGATTACCAAGAAAGAAGGAAGACCGAGGGTGAGGTACAACACCATTCCAGGCAAAAGTTCATAACATTGATCACACCCGGAACGTGCGATGTGTTTTTGATCGTTAACTGCGGAAGCAATTTGTCGGTCATTTTCCGTGCAGGAAGAACAAAAACGTTTTTCCTGTGTGTGTGTTTTGGACTGTGCGGTGCGTTGACAAAGGAGAATATCAATCACCTTGATTGTCCGCAGATTCAGTACATGTCTGTATATATCTGTACCTTTCTGTACTCTTGTCATATTGGCAACGCGACAACAGCCTAGGTGTAACGTGCTAAGAGAGTCTAAAGTAGCAGTGTTTTAGGCTGCATGCTATCCCATCACCCCCTTCTCCCCCCTTTCCCTTTACCCATCCCTGTAACTCTCCTTACCCTCCCCCTTTACTCTAGTCCTTGTCGAATAATGCTCGAAGCATTGGCAGATTCTACTCGAAAAGCAGTGAAGTTGTCAGAACCGTACTTTAGAAGTACAAACCTTATGGCTGCCAATACCTTGAATTGTGCTCCATTTCTTTGTCCCAGGGACCGGCGGATTATGCTCGAAAAGGTGGCAGATTCTGCTCGAAAAGCAGTGAAATTGGCAGAACCATACAAACCTTATGGCGGGCAATTCCTCGAATTCTGCTCCATTTCTTTATCCACATACCAGACATGCATGAAATTTACCAGAAAAAGTATCGAATTCTGGCAATTTTTCTGCCGGCAGAATCCGCCGGACCCTACAGTGAGTTTGTCCACACACCAAACAGTGCATGAAACATACAAGACAAAGTATCAAATTCTGCAAATGGTGACAAAAAGAAGGTAAATTATCGTGTCCGATCCCGAAGGGAACTCACGACGGCCGTTAACACTTGGTAAACCCTAGCGGCTGATGCAGCGCCTAATGGTGGGGTGAGTGGATAAGTATCACAACCACTGGCACAAATGCCGAAAAACCCCATTAGCCGCATCCATGTACCCCTGGTGCCTGGCCACAAGTTACCAGCTGACTGTACACCAGGCTGGGTGTCTGCCCAGTGCTGGAACGAGGGGAATGCAAGCTCCGACTCCTGACATTTAGAATCCGTTCTGGAATCGTCAGTGAGCTGTTGTCGTCCCGAATTGTATTGCAAGGCCCGCCGACAGGCATGACCACTCGAGGTCAATTGGGACGCAACCTTCCCCTCCCCCTGGCCCACAGTGCTTCTGGCGCATGCCGACCGCTTCTAGCCAGCTGCCGACTCTGGAATGGCCTGCCCGACTGTATGAAGTCCATAGTATCTGTCCGTGAATTCAAACGCATGCTACGCGTATTCTACTTCGGTTAAATGTAATGGCTTGCGTAACCTGCTGATGAGACTCGATAGAATCATGCTACGATGACCCTGTAACGTGCGTCGGCGAGGCTAGGAGGCTACTACCCACAGTCAGTCAACTACAGTAACGTATCAGAACTTACTCCGGCACGGCCTGGAGGTTATCTTATATCAAAGTGAAAGTGAACTTGCTCTCTCTCTCTCAGCTCAGCTCTAATCTGAGCTAATCTCATGGTGGCAGAAAAGACAGCAGCTTTTATAGGCAAGCAAAGTATGTATAGCAAAGCAGGCGGCGGTAGGAAAGTAAGCTTAGTAAGCCATTGCAGTGATTACGAAATCATCCTTCTAGTACAAGTTCTAGAATAGTGGAGAAGTAAACCTAGATCATCATTACTATACATGTAGATGAAGTGAGCATTGCGTAACATTAACATAGTGACTAAGCGAGGTGTTCTAGAAGATGAGATATCTATATTATGCAATTTAGTCAGCAACATTACTCATCGGGCCTATGACGTGGAAAGTCTGGAATAGTCCGGAACAACATGACATACATGTACATGAGTCATGACTGTACCAACTAGTAACTAAAAGGAAGTGATACTAGAAGTGATGACAGCAGCATGCATGGAAGATCTAGGATCTTCTAGAAGCACGGTACTCCTGATGTAATCAAATCATATGTGAGGTACATGATGACTTGTCCGAAAGTAGTAACAAGAGTAATTATAAGAGTCCTGCAAAGTACTAGTCATGCGTTAACTGTAAAGCAGGGATACTACACCCTCCCTTCCTACACTAAATCACGCCCTCGTGATTTGACAGAGAGTTCGATGATGTATGATGAACAGTACTCACTAGAACTAGAAGGCACCGTCAGTAGGTGGACTGGACAACTAACTTGCATTCACGTACATGTATTCTTGAATCTTGAACAGAGTGCTTGATATTCGGACGAAAGGGTGACAAATGACACTAGTAGTAGTAGTAGTAGCTCGAGCTCAGCAGCAGATCATAGGAGGCGGTGTGAACGTCATAGTAGTTAGCGTATTACTTGTGGAGCGTCAACCGGAATATGGCAAATAATATCGGAAATGATAACGTTTTTAGAGTAGACAGAAGAACTGAACTGATAATAAATCAAAAATAGAAGCACACCAGGTTCTCACCATCTCACGGGGTCAAAAAGGGAATATTGTCCTCCAAACAGGACCTGAAAAAAACTACAGCTCACTTGCTGCACAACCCTGGCACAACCTGCCAGCCAAATCGCAGTTCCAAGACGAACTGAGTACACAAGGGCATTCTCACACACATTGTCCCAGGTTAGCTAGGTAGACCGTGGCTCACCATGATCGGACGCCTACTGGACTAAACTGGATTCACTCACTCGCATAAAGGAAGACTGAAGAGAACAGAAGGACTGAAGGAAGACAAGAAAGAGAATGCCATACCTGGAATCAGCTTACATTGGACATGGAGCTTGATCGGTAGAGACGCTGTCCGTCATCATTTCGGGCTAGGGGGAGACGTGGCGGGCGAAGGAGTAGCGGCGACTGACGAATCAGGTTGGGCCATGCTGGTACCGGTTACACCAATAAAACAATTTACCGCTGCCATCAATTCTGTAGCGCCACTGCCATCATTGCAGTACAGATACTAGATGGGTTCGAATCTAGCAATTATAAAATTGAACCACCGCTGCCATCAATGTAACGTTCGTCACCGCTGCCACCAATGTAACGTGCGTCGGCGAGGCTAGGAGGCTACTACCCACAGTCAGTCAACTACAGTAACGTATCAGAACTTACTCCGGCACGGCCTGGAGGTTATCTTATATCAAAGTGAAAGTGAACTTGCTCTCTCTCTCTCAGCTCAGCTCTAATCTGAGCTAATCTCATGGTGGCAGAAAAGACAGCAGCTTTTATAGGCAAGCAAAGTATGTATAGCAAAGCAGGCGGCGGTAGGAAAGTAAGCTTAGTAAGCCATTGCAGTGATTACGAAATCATCCTTCTAGTACAAGTTCTAGAATAGTGGAGAAGTAAACCTAGATCATCATTACTATACATGTAGATGAAGTGAGCATTGCGTAACATTAACATAGTGACTAAGCGAGGTGTTCTAGAAGATGAGATATCTATATTATGCAATTTAGTCAGCAACATTACTCATCGGGCCTATGACGTGGAAAGTCTGGAATAGTCCGGAACAACATGACATACATGTACATGAGTCATGACTGTACCAACTAGTAACTAAAAGGAAGTGATACTAGAAGTGATGACAGCAGCATGCATGGAAGATCTAGGATCTTCTAGAAGCACGGTACTCCTGATGTAATCAAATCATATGTGAGGTACATGATGACTTGTCCGAAAGTAGTAACAAGAGTAATTATAAGAGTCCTGCAAAGTACTAGTCATGCGTTAACTGTAAAGCAGGGATACTACAACCCGACTTGTAAATTTGAGATCCATTTTTTTCTGCTCGTCTTGACCCTGCCTCCCCTCATTGCTACTTCCGTTTTCGTATTTTTATTTTCATTTATTTTCTCTTCATTTCTGACTCTTCTTACTGGTTGTCATCGCTTTCATAATATTGGGCAGAACTGCCCGTTTGCCATGCGATGTAAAATAAATAAACAACAACAACAACAACTGTGGGCAGCTGCACGGCTGGAAAACACCGCTCTCAGCCAGGACTTGAACCAGGTACATGTTTAGGCATGTATCTCTCGTATCTCAATCAGGGTCTTTGACCAACCCACTGTGCCTGCCTGGTTACTGCAAATGGTTCTGCCGGAATCATCCGCCATGGGCTAATCTCCCCCCCCCCCCGTTGGTCTTACCCCCCCCCCCCATTCACCTCCACTGTACCTCTCGTTTACCGCCCCTTCACTCCCTTGCCCCACTTTACCCTTTATTCCCCTCACCTCCCTTTCATCTTTTTTATTTTTTTTATTTTTTACTTAGATATGTTCACATACCTAACTCGTAAATCATAATGAAAGGCAATGGTACTGAGGCAAGGACAAACGTGACAACTACTGAGTAGGGGCTGCACCGAGACACAGCAGTGATGGTGGGGCATTGATGGCTCTGCCGACCTGAGGTCTCGGCATCACGGCCAGAAACACGCACCGAAAACAAAAGATAGAGCTGTAAGGGTCAGCAAAATAAAAAGAAAGCAAGGGCTAACATCAGCTAGTGTGCAGCGCATTCGTAGCAAAGGGAGTCGTTGACGGGGCACTAGGATGTAGGTGGGTCGACAGGCATAATGTCCCTGGACCATCGCCAATCCTGTCGGCGGAGGTATTCGTTGACGTTGCGGAAAGTTTCAACGAGGGGAAGGCGTGGCGCATCCCTTCCCCTTATTGGAACGTCTTTTGCATAGCTACGGGAATTAAAAATTATTGTTACTGCAAGTACAACTGGGCAGTAATAATACATGTCGATGGTTCCAGTCTCTGCTAGCTTTTGTCAATCGGGGACCAGCTAGTCGTCTAGTTCTTGCCAATGGCAGGCGTAGATACGTTTAGTGATGTGTACTGAAAACCAAGAGGATAAGGCTTTCCTTGGCACTTCGTACAAGGTTGCGCACCCGATCCGGAAAATGCGCCAGTACTTGATGCAGCAAGGAGATGCCAGTGGCGTGATCTTCAGACACTGCCTTATCGCCTGCTAGTTCCTTGATAAAGAATTCACCCGTGGAATGGTTGAGTTGCAAAGAGCCGTGCCAGGGCACCATAGGCATACGTCTGACATTTTCCTTTCTACTCTTTGGCTTGGGCGCAGCTTGGGCCAGTGCTTGTTGCAGGAAGTGCTGCTCCCAGTCATAAGGCGTTGGATTTGCAGCCGGGGACTCCGGTATTAATTGCTGAGTGACGGCGACCCTATCTCCTTTGATGGATGCAGTGGATGGAGATGTGGCTGGTTGTGATGCATCTACGGAATCTGATGTACATGTATTTGCGTGACACAGCCTCTTGCATTCTCGCTTGCTGAGAATGGCAAATAGTGACCTTGCCCGGCCCGGCCCGGCCCGAGGGTCATAGGAATCTCTGCTGTCTAGTGCCACTAGATCTAGAGTGTTGACTCCACGCTGCTGGAGAATGGTGAGAACGCGTCCTGGAAACTGAGCGCTTCCAATAGTGACATCACCCGACTGGTGGCGAATGATATTGAACAGAACAGATGTATTCCGATACGTATTGCTGGATATAACCTGGGGAAACAGAAAAATGACAAACCCTTTCAGTGAACGTTTCTATATTATATAATAATAATAATTATTATTATTATGAATACCCTGGAACTGGGTACAATTGTGCAGCGTCACTGTCGCGTTACAAGGAGGGCTTTTACTGGGACTAAGAGCAGTGCATTTCGCATGCAACAATAAACCCGTAGTTTGAAGTACATGTATACAGGACTCCATTCCAGATGAACATGATTATGACATTGTACATGTGCATTGTATAGAGCTATTTTTATCTTTCATATCTTTATTCTACACTTCAGACAGTATGACTACTACAGTATTCACTTCGTCTTGGGGGTTAGGCATGGGGAAGTTGCCATACCGGGGTGGTGAGCCCGCCTTTCGGCATCGGGAATACAGCTCGCCAGACGCTGTCTCTACTGGGTGAAGAGAACTCGACCCACACCTAGTGCTACTGAGTGAAGAGGACCCCACCCACACCTAGTGGTACTGAGTAAAGAGGACCCAACCCACACCTAGTGGTATTTACCTGTGTCGAAAGTATCGTGTTGTTGTCTGCCGCAAGCAGATACTCTCCGCTCCGGCGATGTTGAATAGTGTAGAGCTCCTTATCACCGTGCATGTGACGTTGAAATTGGAACATGACTGCATGAATACATGAAAGAACCAGCCGATAACGCCAGAAATGAGTGAACTTGAAAAGAACAAAACATGAACATCGCAAAAGTGGAACAATAGTGAAATAATGTTTACTGCTGGTGATTTCTTTAGTGAACCATTCTTGCCTTGCTTCAACCTGGAAAATGTTCAAGCTGGGATGATGTGATAGAAGTCGCATATAGGGAAACGGTCCAATGAAGCAGAACAGTAGCTCTCTGGGCTACCGAAGGCTTAGCCAGATCCGAAGGCTTTTCATGATCATGACGTCTACTTCCACTCTCAAACTCGTCGGACTAGAATGCAGAAGTCTTTACACTTCGAGTGAGTGTGTCGTTATCCCAGTGTACATTATTATTATTATTCACACATATCAGCCGGATGAGTACGCGTGGCCCATGCACCATGGGGACCCACGAATACAAACCAGCATATGTTCCCTCAGCAATACAAGCAAGCAAGCACGCAAAGATAAATGAGAGCCCAGGCAGCGAAAACTAAACGAAGAGAGATGAGGACATAGGCAATGAAAACAATTCCAAAGCATAGCCAGGGATTGAATGTGTGCATCTGGGTACGACAGTTAACACGGCTAGTGCAGCCGTACAGAGCGCAGCAGCATGAAAGTACAAAAGTGCCACAGCTACGTTCTAAGCATTTTGCTTTACAACTGCGCTACCTGGGGCCTCACTGAGGCACTCAGAACGTCTCTGGACGTTTGCCACCGCCGTCACCTCCGCTCGCTACTCCGTATAAAGTATCCAAATATAATCAAAAACACGGAACTCTACAACCGCTGTTGCACCCAACCCATCTCCAAGGAGATCGCGGCGAGGCGATGGAGCTTCCTGGGGCATGTGCTCCGGATGCCATCAGGGGCACCGCCACAGGTCGCTCTCGATTTTGCTGCTTCTGGTGCCTTGCGGGGAAGGATAGGCAGACCAAGAACAACACTGCTAACCACTCTCTCACTGGATTGTCGGTAGAAGCTGGGGCTTGTGCTTCTGTCGCGACCTGGCCTAGCCCAGCTTCGGAAGGTGGCGTATGATAAATGCCGATGGAATTCATTGCGAAACAGCACTGTTAATTAGCCTGGCCATAATAATACGATTACATCTGACATGCTTGCCTGCCTACTTGTGCGCACGCATGCATTCTTGCCGGAGATGTCTACCTGTGGCGACAATAATTTTTTCATGGACTGATCTTCTTTTTTAGTGTTTGCACACTCTTGGCTGCTGCTGCTGTGGCACTTTTGTATTTTCATGAGCGTACATACCAAGTAGGAAATACAGATATACACAAGGTATACATGAACACGTAGTTCAGAATGATGAGGGATTAGTACAAAGAGATTGCTGGGCACTAGTTAAGGAAATAGATCTTCAGGAGGCCCTGGATTTTGTACTCTTGTGGCGGATATATGTAACGTTATTAACTATGATTCGAAACCCAATTGCCCGTATTTTTTCAAGGCCCGGTCTCTAAGAGTATTGCACAGAACCCGGTGTATCTGTACATTGTACATTATATCGATGTTTTGAAAACAGACTTACCTCGCTTGCTACAGCGCACACCGGACGCCTGAAAGGAACCATTTCTTGCCGTCGAAAAAGCCAGCATTCGTCCCGAGGCTGTTGAGCGAATAACGCGGAGGTACTGTCCTTGCTGATGTGGAAAAACAGGCATGGAGCATATGTAACCTAGCAATGAAGCACATATTACAAGGTAGCAATGGACTTTCATCACAATCGACTGCTCCATTGTTGACTTAATGGTAAGGATAGATTTAGATCAGAGTGAAATTGGTGAATGCGATAGTGAGCCAGACACGAAGGTGAAAGCGGCACCAAATGTGTAAGATGGGCGCTATTTATGTGTCTGCTGAACCTGTGATTATCCTACACTGTCATTAAGAACTAGCACTGTATGTGGTGTTGATAGGCGGAATGTTCAACTAACTTCGTACGTACAGGCTGCAACGCCAGCGTATTGGAGGTGCTCTGAAGACTTCGGGCCTGGAAGCAGGCAGCTACTGATGCATACTTCAATATTGGAATACCAAGTCATGCAACGGATGATGGAACGGATGATGAATGCGGAGAGTCATGTACAATGTACAACTGCTACACAACAACGTCGGTGTTTCCTGTCAGCACATCATCGCAAGTAGACGGCAATAACGCCCAGGCCAGAGAGCGCATACTTATCACTGAGAGTTCTGGTCTCTGTAAGACAGGATGTTTGCACCTGATGACTGTGCGCCTCATTGGTCACTATAGCAAATATTCTAGAATCAGCCATCGCATTCGCAAAATGGCAAACCATAAGCATAGCTTTGCGTTCCCTGCTGCGGCTCCAGTTACGTGTTTCTGTAAAAATATATCCATTTTACGTGAAGACTACAAGTATGCCTATTATCTGATGGCAAAATTTGCGCTGCGAATAGAGATTCACATATGGCAGCCTTTCGGATGAATATTCTGTGGCGACCGTCTACGGCGGCTGTGATGATGCGTTGGAATGAACTCTAATGATGTCGGGAGTCTCACGTTTATACCTTCAAGGTTACTGTTCCAATTAGCCTTCCGGTTCTGGTAGGATGTCGATAAGCGACGTCTGAAAGTAGTAACATTGAGTGCCTCACCGTGCTGAATGTCACTCAGTGCAAATTCCTTATGGTTGCCTCAGGTGTTGCACACGTACCTGTACATGTACTTGTATCAAGACATATCTATCTGCATGTGGCATATCCTCAGGACTCGTCCAATAGATATTGAGTTTCGTCGCGTAGCAACCTCACCACACATCACCGCTCACCGTACTGTTAGATCTACATTGTAAGTCCGATCACAATGCCATGAAGCTTTGTGATCTAGTGAACGTATAATCTCCCTAGCACAGACATCTATCAGTCCGGAAAAGCTATGAGTGAACCACTAATATCCACGTGTTAAACAATATACACTGGAATCAGGGTAGCAAAATGGGAGAACCACTACGTCCCTCATGTATCCGGACAACTGAAACAGTGAAAGGAAACTATCTGCAGTGCGTAGAGACCGTACATGTATACACTGAAACCTGTCTAAGCCGACCGCTCAAGGGACCTTCAAAATGTAGTCGCCATAACAGTTACATGTACATATACATGTACATGTACTGGAGGTCTCCTTATCCAGGGTCATTTCACTGGAAATAACATCCATTGGCGCTGGTCGTAGTGGTAGTGCTGGACAGGTGATCGCCTTATCCAGGGTCATTTCACTGGAAATAACATCCCTTGGCCCTGGTCGTAGTGGACAGGTGATCGCGGTTAATATCAGACTCAGACTCTCAGGCTGCGTTTACATGAGAAATTTCAACCCGGGTCGAGTTCAGCCCGGGTTGAAAGTCTGTACGACAAACAAAAGAGGTGAGCGTTTACATGAAGACAGTTGACCCGGGTCAAATACTGATATGCCGCCAAAAGTCCACTTCTACAGTCCTGTATGGTCACGTGAATCCGTTCGCGCGAAATTTGCATCTGCAGTGCCGTTCAAACCTGGCGCGAGATACGCACAGAAGTACGTTTGTACGATTTTGTTGACCCGGGTTGATTTCAACCCTCCCCTTGGGGGGAGGGTTGAAATCAACCCGGGGCGAAATTTCAACCCGGGTCAAGCGCAATGCGTCATGTAAACGCGCCATTCACTTTGTGCACATGGCGGGTTGAAATCTGACCCGGGTCGAACTCAACCCGGGTTGAAACGCTTCATGTAAACACAGCCTCAGAGTGATTGCCTTGACATGTTTGCTGCGCTGGTACACTGGTACACTGGTACACTGGTACACGGGTACACTGGTACACGGGTACACGGGTACACTGGTACACTGGTACACTGGTACACTGGTACACTGGTACACTGGTACACGGGTACACGTACATGTACAAGTATTGTACAGGTTATCACGGAGTTTGTGGCCCAGGTGGGAGGTATTTTCGGAAGAAACTCTGGATTTCCTAATTCTAGACAAGAGACAGACGTCGACAACGGCTGCAATATTCCTGTAGCCCCACTTCATCCGTTCCCAATAGCAATGAGAACATTATACTTGTACATGTGCAACGTGTATGTACATGTACATTACATGTACATGTACATGCACGTTGTAAGTTGTACGATCCTGTGTATGCATGACAACGTTACTGAGGTGATGCTGGGCGTCAAGCTCTCTCTCTATAAAGTCCTTGGCAGCTTCCAGGTTGCAGCAAGAAGCAAGACGTCCCTCTTCAATATAGTACATGTACATGTACATGTACGGTAGACATATACATGTATGTTAAGACGTGAATACATATCCGCCATTGGATCACTTTCTTCCTCTTAGTCTCCATGGAAACCGGCAGCCTGCAAACAAGAAGATTCCAGCGAATGGTCACTCTCCACAGGACTTGTGTCCGCTAGTCTAGAGTTTTAAAAGGTATACGCAAAAGGGTTGCTAGTAATTGCTGTTGAGGAACCTGAAGTGCATCCTCTTTCTCAGTGTGACTTGCCTGCGATTTGAAAGTATTATTAGTTCCAACGCATGTGTGATGTGCGCTGCCTGTAGACGGATTGCACACAATCATGATTGTACAATGCACAGTCATGTACATGTGTGTGTACGCTGTGCGAACAGTCTGACTCAGTGACTGGTTTGAACAAAGAGAATGTCAACCTTCGCGTCACTTGGGCAATCAGGGGCAAAGTGTCTCGTAAGTGACTACAGACTAGCTGTAAGGCTCTCAGAGGGGTACCGGTATTTTGCTGCGGGTGAAATCCCAAACATCTGCAACAGCAGCAACGACCAAGTGAGGGATGACACGTTGATTGGTTAGTTCCCATTTTTCTACCACCGGAGTAACTCCCTCGCCTCGGGCTCAATGATACATATACATGTACGTGTCACTACCTTCCGGAACATATTGCAGCTTGCTGATCAGTTATAGAGCCGGTATCCATGATCCAAAAGAAATCCAAGAAAAGCTCAGGACACGTGCACAATCGTTCACGTCGACCAATGCCCACCCATCACTGCAGTACAAGATGTTTTCATTTCTTGTTGGCTGAGCTTTTTTTTTAATGAAATGTTGTTCTTTTCGAAAGAACAGGTCTGGGACCGAGGTACTACAGTTTTTGGGGGTACTGGTACTCCGCAGTTCCTCATCTTTTGTTTTCTTGCTTTGCAAGCTGGTTTCCCACCCACCCTCCCTCCCTATGAGGAGCTTTGTATGGGTACTCACACGGGTCTCATGATAGGAACAGTGCTGGGCTACTCTGTCTGATAGATTTGTGGATATTGCTGCTACTTTATGTACATTTCAGGTTTTTACCGTACCGTTTCTATGGTGGTAGCCAATGAGCGACGTTCCCGCGGTGGCCTTGATGAGCCGATAAAGCCCGTGGTCAATGGATACGGAAAAACACGGTAGCAATAAAGCCCATCGTCAATGGCACCCCGCCTAGCTCTGCAGGGGCCTGCGGCAGTTTTTCGTTGTCAGCTCAGTTCGCATCTCACATTCGACTGTGAACATGCTCTGGTACCTGGAAACAGCCTGTCCAAAACCGGCAACATGAAAAGTGTCTAGACATCGTGGTCAGTTTTCAACTCAAGTTCTTGTTGTCGTGAGTGGAGATGACGATAGTTGTGAATAAGCGAAAGAGCATGCACCTATCTATCTGCTTAGAAGCAAGCTGAAATAAGTGGCACACATCGCGATCAGTTTTCCACTTTCTGTTCTACATGTACTAAAAAAAGGAGTTGACGAGTTGCCGAACTTTTCTGATGATTTTGAGGAATCGAAAGATCATGGACCAAAGATCATCCCATCCATGAGAAGCGGACGGAGCTGAAACTCACAAGCTGAATGAGCTGAAACTCACAAGCTGAATCCACCACGTCTTCGACCACCACCCCTTTACGTGTCTTGCTTTTATACCAGAAAGGGGAAAAACAAAACCTGAAACACGATCATAGAGGTCTGGCAGGACTTTTCGCCTTCATCAAGGCTTCGTGCGTACGGCCGCGGGCGCAGGCCTCGGCGCTACGCGCCTTGGCCCGCGCCCTTGGCCGTACTCACTCGGCTTTGATTCAGCCGCAAAGTCCTGCCAGACCTCTATGATTGTCTACGTACATGTACGTTTTCTTGCTGTGGCGGTCCCAGCAGTTGTTTGTTCTGTGATGAGTGTGTGTGTGTGTGTGTGTGTGTGTGTGTGTGTGTGTGTGTGTGTGCGTGCGTGACTGTGTGTGGCGGGGGGGGGGGAGAGAAAGAGAGAGAGAGAGAGAGAGTGTGTATGTGGGTGTGTGTGTGTGTGTGTGCGTGTGTGTGTGTGTGTGTGTGTGTGTATGTGCAGGTGTGTACATGTATAATTATGGTACAGGCATGTGAGTGAGAAAGGAAGGGGTACCCTAGTTTGTCATACCATGATGCACATGTACACTGTACAATGTACAATGTACATGCGCACGGGGGAAGCTTGGATGCAGTGAATGGGATTTTCGGTCTTTGACCACTTTGCTAGTGGGCTGATCCGCAGAGGGTGGTGGAGTCCCTACGGATGGGAAAAACGTGGCCTCCAGCCGAGCCTAAAGCGAACCGTTAATCAAGATCCTAACGTCAGAATACGGTGGGTCCGGATCCGTATCCGTAGCCGAGGAAAAAGGCGGACAATTAATCATGAAAAGGTGTGGTGCGCAGGAACTTCATGTACATGCAAGTTGTCCTGTTCCCACGGGCCATTTTCCATTGATTATAGTGCTGAGGATCTAAGTAGGAAACGCCCTGGCACAAACGGAGCAATCAATAACCGAAGCGTGAAAATAGAGAACTACTCGAAGGATTTCATACGTTCAGATGCGGAAATTACATCGTCCATTCCTAGGGGTGCAGAACAGCAGTGGATATGTACATGCCATGTACATGTACAGTATGCGGCCACTTGAAGCAAGCACTTGGGCAAACCTTACTTCCCCACTTCAGAAGTTCAGTAAAATGAAGGACTGTTTGCACTCGACTCGAAGCACAAACGGCCACGCGTTACATTGGTGATGGAGATAACCTGAATGAGGCATATTTGGCACGTTCAGGCCAAAGTGTGCGGGGTGCAGGTGCTGATGTGCGATTGCTATTCTGATCTCGAGGTTTAACTGACAGCGAACATGTAGACTACACACACCGTACAGCGAAGCCACTTTCAAAAGATGTCACTTGCTTGGGTGGCACTTGACTTGCACACTCTCCAGGAAAACAGTTTTGAAAAGTGCAGCGGCATGTAAAATATCGCATCAGCAATTCACGCTAACAGTCGTTTTGGGTGTCACACTCAGAGCAGACGTTTTGGGTGTCAAACTCAGACCACGCACATGTACATGACTATTGACTATTGTATTGTTTGCTTCAAACTGGGCAGTAGTACTGGTTTGTCCCTACTACTGCATGTACATTTACATGTATACACGTTCTAACTTGAGAACGGTTTTATTCACAACACCAACTGGGCCAATCGCGTGAAACCATGAAGTAAGAGTCAAAGCAAAAAGACACCCCCAGTATTTTCGGAAATAAATAGAACACTGAATTGAAAATTTATATTAGAATTTAGATATTAGATTTGAGTATGAATACACTTTCTAACACCTTATACATACTGTAGTACAAGGTGTACAATCATGTTCATGTACCTCAGGTACATGGACATGGACATGGACATGTCCATGTCCATGTACCTGAGGTACATGAACATGGACATGGACATGTACATGTACATGTATCTACCATCCGCTGTTTTCAAATACCTCACACGAAACACACGGGCATTAATTTTGTCCGTGAAAGTGTCCACAGCGTGACGTTCAGATAGGTATATGTACATGCATGGATGAGTTGGAACATAAAATTCTAGTAGTAGTCCTAACTGCAATCATGCATGTCCTAGTACAGCTGTGGCAATCATGCATGTGTCATGCTGGCATACTCCTACAGTCTGTGGTATTGCAAGTTGCTCAGAGGCACATGCTGCAACTGCTTCAGGTTGGGAATAAACTTACTTTTATATAGCACCTTGCGGAGAGCTAAAGGATTCCTATGTACTGGAAGTAAGGGAAAGGCTGTGCTACAATTGTACAGTGTACAGACTCAGTGTACATGTATGTGTTGTGAGTTGTGACAGTGTCCTAGAGGTACACGTACATGTACATGTACATGTCATGTAGTAAATTAAGCACACCGTGATGAAGGAAAGTATTATGAGTCATTCTCAATTCAACTACTACTACAGTATACGCACACACCAAGCCTCTTTTGCGGGCAAAAGCAACACAATACGATCAGAAACCAGGGTTTGATAGGAAGAAAATAGCACACAGGTGTGGAAAATATGTCTCGTGAGAATGGCGACAGTGTTACTCTAAACCACACAACTGGTAGTACTTGTACTGGACTAGATAACCCTTGTTTTTCTTCAAACATGTTGTTGGTTGAGAGCATGGGGATGGTTGTAGGAAGGTCACTGGTTCCGAACACGGTGTCCTCCACCTTTGTTACATGCTGCCAACCAACACCATGTAGTGGACTGTACTGGACTCTCACAGTAATAGTGCTCACCATGTCTAATATTCAGTAAAGCCTGTCAAAGCGACCACTCGGATAAGGCGACCACCTGTACCAGAAGACCACTGCAGCCAGGACCAAGGTATACTATTTCCAGTCAAATGGCACTGGATAAGGAGACCACCTGGTTACGGAGACCACTCTTTGAAGGTCCCTTGAGCGGTCGCCTTAGACAGGTTTCACTGTACATGTGCACGTAACGTTACATACAGTACATGTATGTACATGTACAGTCAACTTCGCTTATAACGACACTCGGCGGCGGGGCATCAGAAAAGTGTCGTTATTCGCGAAGTGTCGTTATACCCGAAGTCTTATTATATGTATTACAGTAGGACGAGACTTTGCACTGGGCATGGGAATTCTGTCTTTATTCGCGAATTGTCGTCATATCCGAAGTCGTTATTAGCGAAGTTGACTGTATGTACAGTATGTACAGTAAACCTACGACTTCCTGGTGCATCTACATGTACATCTACATGTACTTGTACTTGTAGAACATGTACATGTACAACTGTATGGAATTTGATGCGAACAGGCGGATTATTCCAATTTATGCGATTCGTGTGCAATTTGCCTCGAATTATGCGATTATTCGATTTTGGTAGGAATTATGCGAAAAATGATGCTAGCATAATCCGTCAAGGCCTACCACACGTTCATGAGTAGAACATACATGTACATGTACATGTAGCTACATAGAGCCAGATCATCAAGGTCCTGATTTGAAATGACTTCGCACGCGGTGTTTAGATTTCGGCGGCGATGCTGTAACGGGACGGTCTATTTCACTTATAGAATTACCACTGCTACGGTATTAGACTCTGCAAGACGCTTCACTGCAGATTAGTTTGTAGAGCAACGCGAAGAATTATTCATTCAATCGACATTGGTGTGTTGTTAATTAACTTTGTCGAATGTTGTTCACTGTGTAGACAAGACGAATTGGCTTTTCATCTTTCAGTAGTTACTTGATCAAAGAGGTAACTTAGTTCGCTCAGTCCAGCAAAGTTGTTAGGGTGCGTAGTGGAGCAACTAATGAGAAGTAAGGGAGGCCCAGACATACCAGTACTAACGCAGAGCGCAGGCCTGGACACACACAAGAGCGCCAAGCACCATGAATAATACATGTACATACATGTCCATGTAAACACCGGGATCATAGGGTGGTCAAGGTTTGGTACGACTAGCAGCAAGAGTAGATAAACAAGAGTGTGCAACTCGCGGATGGGTTGGCCCACGGCGGAATTTTTTGTTGACGTAATCTTTTCGACGACGCACGCGCTGCGAGCCTTTTGGAGAGGTTTCCCTCGTGCACTTGGCCGAGCTTTACACTACAAGGTCGGTGCCCAGCACGTGCTCTCACACTGCTCTGCGGCAAAGTCCACGTTTCTCTGAAAAAAGGTGACGTCAACAAAAAATTCCGCCGTGGGCGGGGTATCTGCAGATTGTGCAGGAGAGATCCGGAGTTGCACACTCTTGTTTATCTACTCTTGCTAGCAGTCATACACCATGCTCGAATGCACATGTACAACGTATCACTGTCATGATGCATCCTGTATCAGTATTCAACTTTCAAACAATAGTCAATAGTCTTTCAGCCAGAAATAATTCAGGAGGCAAAGTCTCAGCACTATGACAGAGTTAAATGATGCGATTCATACCCGTGAAGTGTACATGTATGTCGGGCTGCATCATCGCTTCCGATTTACCCCTGTGCTTTCATACGACATTCAAGTGTTCTATTGTATGATCCTTTCATACCACTCCAGAATTCCCCATATTACTAGTAGCAGCTGTTTGTTCCCACCAAATAATGTGCAAGTGTTTGAAGGACCTTTTCCATCCATTAGCTGCAGAACCATTATTTTAAGAGTATAGTGATTGAGGACAAAGCACTAGTGGATTAGGCAACATTCAATTGAATTTGCGTAAATCGCTGTTAGTCTTTCTTTCCTTTTTCTAGTATGACTTTGTTTTCCTTCTCCCGAACAGGTCTATTGTTATTAGGCAGATTACTGTGATATTCAACACTATAAAATAAAAACCAATCCGAACCAATCCAAATTTCGATTTTCGTGGAAATGTTGTGTTGGGCAAAATGTAAGGATTTTGAGACATACATGTACATGTTATAATAGCTATAAAGAGAACAAATTCTGCTGTGAGGGAATGAGGGAAGGTGAGACAATATTCTATTTTAGCACTCTGTTTTGTTCTCCTAACACATTATTGAATGGATATTAATCATTGATTCAGCATGGTTACTCTTCAGTCATGGCTGTCCACTGATGATTGTGACAAGAAAATCGATTTTGGTAAACCTACATGACTATGTTGTAGTGTGGCGATGACAGCAGAATTTGTTCTCTTTATAGCTATTATAAAATTGTTGTCTCCGCGTCGATTATTTACATGTACATGTACATGTATTTTCGACATTTCTGCCTGCGCCATCTCACCCATACACAGCTCTCTACATACATGCACATGCATGCACATGTAAATGTACATTGCAATACTAGGTACAGTACATGTACATGTACGATGCTCAGAAGCATCTACCAATATTGCACCGTCAGAAGATTTGCGATTTTTGAAAGTAGTACCGCCCCTCAGGATTGAAATATCTGTACAATCATTAACCCTTTATGTACGGAAAAATGTGTACAGACTGAATTTGATCTCGACTCACCTCAAATAATTAATTAGGGTTCACGGCTTGCCACTAAAAGCACCCGTCACGTGCGCCTCCATTTTGGATTATGGACGCGCGCTACAGGCCGCGACAGCGCCTATCGAAGTAAAAAAATATCGACTCGAAGTCTAGCCGGAGAGCGTACTTTTTGAATTTTTCCTTGGCTTCAGTGGCTTCACTTCACTCGCGCTTTGCATTTTTCTGACTGACCTGGACTTGATGATGGCGGCGGTGGCGGTCTTGGTGAAAGATCCAGCTCCATCTGAGACACTCTGTCGTCTTTTCTTATCTGCTGAGGTTCTGGCAAAGCGCAGCTGCATCGAACCTGACTAGATGTAGCTGCACGCATCCTTTGTTTGCCCTGCAAATCTCGATCTGTTGCTCTTCTTGCTGTTTGGCCGCTGATGCCATGGAAGAAAATATTCTTCCTGTAAAGAGGCCGAAACTGAGCTAGGGCACGTCAAGATATCTAGGGTATACAAAGAAAAAGAAATGTCATGGTCGTTTCAGCAGCTCACGACAGCCAACACGCTCCATCGTCGGGATTGGAAGTATCCAGCACGGCTGTTCCGAGCGCTGCTGCTCTTGTTATTCTTCTTCTTCAAAAATTCTCCACACCTTGTCGGCCAAAGTACGCGCGCGCGTGCACGGAAAATAGATGCGCTGAGCCGTTTCTTGTTCGATTTTGACAAATAATGGCTTGTTGTTTTGCTCTCGACCTTGGCTATCCTTCTACCGTTCAGTATTTTACGGAAACGCAACGGCTCCCCCTGTTTTTTTAGCCGAACTTTGGCCAAAGTTACTGGAAAACCCGGAACTCGTTTGAAAAAATACGAACGGTGGATCATGGAAGTCTTGGAACGTCTTTCGTGCGTGTGGATTCAAAAATTCAGGCAGTTTGAGCCAACCGTAATGAATCCCGTAGAGTTGAAAGTGAGTGATATTGATGGGAAAATGCGATTTGAGCACTGACCGATTGTGTGGGACAGTATATGCACGCGCCTGTCACGTGCATGATGTAGCTGGCGACGCTAGCATGCCAATCCGTGAACCCTCAAAAATTCAGGCAGTTTGAGCCAACCGTAATGAATCCCGTAGAGTTGAAAGTGAGTGATATTGATGGGAAAATGCGATTTGAGCACTGACCGATTGTGTGGGACAGTATATGCACGCGCCTGTCACGTGCATGATGTAGCTGGCGACGCTAGCATGCCAATCCATAATTAGGTCACACATACATGTACATGTACATGTACATGGACATGTAGCTGATTTTGATCATCAGAGTTACGAAACAGCAACTGCTCGTTCTTCCGTCTGTGTATTCCGCTTTTTGCCTTCGCAAAATTGAGCCCTCTACGGAAAGTGGATGAACTTCACATGATTATCGTCTTCTGAGTTTTTCTCAACACAAACTCCAAGGGTTTGTAATCGTGTCTGTGGTTTAGCCTTTGTGCGGTACTGTACGGTACAGCAGGGTGCATGCACATGCACATGGACGTAAATTGTGCCATGTCCATGGACATGCACACGTACATGTCCATGGACATGCACACGTACATGTACATGTACGTGTGCATGTACGTGTGCATGTACGTGTGCATGTCCATGTACATGTACATGCACATGCACACGTACATGTAACTGTTATACAGTCTTGTCCATGTCCATGACTGTATAACAGTTACATGTATCTACAATGGCATTATGTACCTGTACGTGTGCCTGTACATGTACATGATTGCAAAAGGCACGAAACTCGGAGTAATAACGAGAAAGCTCTTTGGTCTCTGTTGTTCTGCCTTGTGTAGTACGCTCTGACCTTGTTAGGGTATATTAAGCACTATTTGCAGCAAGGACTTCAGACACTTTGTGATTATATATGTATCTATTCTTTGCGGAGACTCCAGCCTCAAACCTCTTTTCAAATGTTGTGGAAAGCGAGGCACAATATTGCACTGTCACTACTACTACTACTAGGTGACATATTGCTTGCCGCGCACCAGCTCGACCAGAAGAATGACATGTCTACCAGTTGCCAGCGGCTGTCAATGCCAGACAGAGTCAAACTGCGACTAATGAACTAGGGTCAATGTCACCCAACCAGTGTCTCTCATGAGACAAAAACACAGTGCCTTGCTGCTGCCAATGCTGCCTCAGTACGCATCCATGAGATCGTGTTCTTGATCAGTCATTCCGTCCTAGCATCCAGAGAACTCCTCCAAATGATCACATCCGCTGTCGAGTTTTGCTGCTTTTGCACCAAATAGCGTAACATTTGAATGTGTCACTTCTCGAGGTCTGAAGCTGGTGATGGAAACCATCAAGTTGCACATCAAGCAGGAAGCAACGTCCTAAACCTTATGTCGACAATGCCTGGCAGAGAAATAGCATGACTCAGGGTTCTGGCGCAAATTCTCATACACGTACATGTACATGTACATGTATATGTAACAGCGGAATGAGACTTGTTTGATTCATTGCTGTGTAATGTTGTATATGTACGTGTATTACACTTTATTCATGACTGTAAGTGTAATGAAGTTTATACAATGTACAGATGTACAGATGTACAGATGTACATGTACATGTACATGTACATGTATGTCAGGTGATGTTCCCGTCACCCTTTAGCGGTGCAAAAGGTCGACCATGGTGATCAAGATGTACCCTGCATCTAAGCCTAAGGTACTGACAATAACATGTACAGTGTACATGCACATGTATGCACTCGGTTCGACAATGTACATGATATTGTACATCCGTCGTGCTTGTGCAGATGCAGCTCGAGGATTTCATTCAGGATGTTGCTAGCAGATTGAGTGTTCGCTGCCGTACTAGGATTGGCTGGTAGCACTGGATGGTAGCACTGGATGGTAGCACTGCGTGTTTTGGTGTGCTGTTTGCTTTGGTGATCTTTTTTCAAACTCGATCAATGTGGCACTACGGGCCTTGGATTCTGGTTTCTGGCCGATATGTATGTACATGTATGGTTAATGTATAGTCATGTATTTCATTGCTTGAAGGTGTGGCTGTTGCTACGCTGTCACTGCTACATGTGCATGCACACGTATGTGTCATTACCTGTCACACCAAACATTCTTATTCTTATTCTCATTTAGAAAACACGCATACCAGCATACATGTACATGATGCTCATTTGACAGATAATTACATATAAGCAGGCGAATCCCATGACCAGCACACGACACAGTAGCTATCACACACCACCTAAAAATAGTCATTTTGGTCTCCACACTGTGTCTTTGCATTTGAGTGCGCAGGAGCGATTTAGCACGCGGGGGAAAGAACCGTGAATACTCAGACTGGGATTCTTTTTTTTTTCTCCTCAGCATCCCATTCGCTGACCAATGGTGGCTACTCCAGTTCAGTACTGGGTTTGGATTACAGATGTCAAAAGGGAACCCCCTCTAAAGTTGTGGGCGAATATGTGATACAAGTCTCGTATTCGTAGGGGACTACCGGTATGGCAGTGCTGACGGCCCAAACATTTGGCATTATGAATCATCGGGGCCTGGTCAGGGAACGTTACAACTGCGCACTCGCGCTGTAAATGGACGCACACGGCTACGGATGGTCAATGTGGGGTGTATTTGGCGTGCTGTCATGTACCGCTGCGGTGTGCATGTGGGAGAATAGCACTATGGATCTTCTGCGTAGGGCTCTTCACACCCCCACGAATCCACGCGATAAGTAGCTGCTAGCTGAGTGAGCTTTTGAAACCTCTTCGCCGAGATGTTGCCAAGCTGAAGGTGGGGCTTTAGCTGCCTGATGTACATTGTACAGAAGTATTATATGTAAGCATGTACGAAACGGAAATACACCGAGTGATCAATTGAAGTAGCACTTATGTAGTGCGAGAAAACCTTGCCGATTGCCATCGGCAACCTCGATAAAAATGTAATACAATTTAGCCATTGCATTGTACTATCCTAGTATGCTGCACAGAATCATGGAAAACCCAGGTGGGAAGCTAGACCAGTCCGAAACTACACAGCCACGTGCTTTGGTCACCGACATGTACATGTACATGTATGTGTACGATCTTCAAACAGTATAAAACGCAGCAACGAAATTCTCAAAAGGCAGATCAGAAAACGAGAGTTCCTCTACTGTTAACTTTGATTAGCTGAAAAAGTGTAGTCACTGCGAATATTGCCATGGCTTTCGTGCTTCTTCACTTGCTAGTACATGTATTACCCTTCGTTGCAACCATTATGGCTGCACCATTGCCACAAGCAACTGACTATGGACAAGGTGAGGATGCGCTCGTAGCAGTGCTGATGTCTAGACCCACGCGTCACTTTGTCAGAGCATCTCGCCGTGACGGAACGTTTCACGCCAATTCCAGGTGCACAGAGAGAGGTGAGAGTCAAGTCAAGTCTCAGTATTCGAGTACTCCCCACCTCAAACACCGCTACCCCTTATCCTGAAAAATATTAATGTCGACCGTGCAGGCCAGGCAGGAAACAAGCAGTGTTTAACAAAATTATTAATAGCGACTGGAAATTTATGTTGTAATCGTTCATGTATGCCGGTTTGCGTTCCGATTGGCGTGAGAAGACTTTCTAAAAGCCTCTTGCTGCACAGGGCCTCCTTGAGACCAAACACATCTCTATTGTAATAGTTTATCAAGGTAGCCGGTATGTGTGGGGAGTTGCACATGTGTGACAGAGCGGAAAGCTTGATAAGTAATAATTTATTGGTTAATAGAGTTGCAGATGGATATCCGGAGGCGAGCGTTCTGACGATATAAATAGAAAATGGCACAGATGTCAAGAGGTCTATTTCGTATGCAATGAGACGCAATGGTACATGTAAATGTATGTTCAACTGGAGCACCTAGTAGGGGCTGGACGGTGTATGGCCATTGTGTCATTGCTACCAAGAGTTACACAATTGAGCGCTAGACATGACTGGTGTTTTCCTTTTACTGCTATTTCTGCTATACACAGCGTTGTTCAACTTTCGACCGAGTCACTTCAATGGCGAGCTGGTCCACACTATACAGAATCGCCATACCCATCTGTATTGGTCAGCTGATGATCAAGATACTCTACGTGCGTCCAGCGAGGTGAGATTCCTGGTTGCAACACGCTGTGCATTTGTACATGTATAAGATGTGCACATTCTCGCACAGTAGGTTCTCATATCGGTGCCATTTGCATACCCGTTTCCTGTTGCTTACGATGAGAGTACAGTTATACAACAATTATATTATCTAACAGCCATACCTCCGCTACCCGAGCCTGAAACGTCAATCAAACCGTTTTGCTCTATTGTGCTATTTTCTGTAGGTGTCCCTTGATGCCAACGAAGACGCTGCGGCTTTCTTCATCATCCACACAGACGCCAATGCTAACCTAGAATTCGAAAGCGTCAAGTATCGTGGACAGTATGTGGCTGTACTCACAACAGCTCATTCTCACAGTCGACTGGTCTTAAAGACCAAATCACAACTACGCCTGAATGACCCAACTGTTGGATTTCTCTACTCTCACTCCCGACATGTATGTGCCTTTAATGATCATGATAGTCATACAAGTCCTGGCAAAAAGACTGTGGGACAACAAAATGACCTGGTTTCAAGCCCAGACCAGTCCACCGACGTTGAGCAAAACCTGATTCGAGACGCCCTTCGGAAAAGACAAAAGTCAAAGAAAATCGTGAAGGCCCATCACGAAATTCGTACTGCTGCACCTCAAACGACGCCTACCCCAACAACGAAACCTGTGGAGGACACGGGTGAGCTGACAGATGCGGAACTATTTGCTCTCCTAGGATGGTTTTGATTTGCGACTTTAAGCCAGAATGACATTTCCTTTGATTTCTAAATTATCTTGACTTCCCGCTCTATTTATTTTCATAAATCCAGTGATTTTATTTACTTTCATTTGAAGATATGCGAAAGAGATAACAGAATGATTCATCCAGATATATTTCTACTCTTGAATACTGCTAGTGAATCGTCCTTTCCGAATCTTGACAGCCATAATAGTATCATCGAAATAATATTTATTTCTGCCACTATCTTGAAATGTAACCTCAGACATACATTGTACAAGTCATGTACACGGTGTGCTTCTCTTGTGCCATACATGTACATGTATAGCCTTTAGAATTCCTCTCTGAAAGATGTGTAAGAACACTGTGAACTTGTGTTCGCACAGTATACAGTAGCCAGTTATTTACTACGCATTAATTCATTGATTCACAACTTCAAATTTCAAACAGGCCCGGTACTATCCTGAAGAGAAGGGAAAGAAAACGTTTGGTACATTGTAGATGAAAGGCAGTGTCTACGTGATTGTGTGGATTCGCGTCTTTGCATGCGAAGGTAGGTAGATTGCGAAACTTCCTATTTTTGTTGTCATTACGAATTCGGTACCGCTTCAATATTTTGATGGCTGTTTCTCGATAGCTGTCAAATCTCTTTCGGTTAATACTTAGTATTGTTAACGACCAATTCAGTCATGTCCATGTACAATGTACAGTAGCTTTGCACATGGAGTCATGGTGGACATAGAGCTCAATTATTTATTGCCTCACCAGCGAAAGTTATGCGGGACATTGCACATGTACAATGTACATGTACATGTATTATGCTATCCCCAAGTACAAATACCTGGGACATTGCATTGTAGCTCTCAGTGAAAACAGCATACTACTAGTATCCAGCCGTCTGCCGTGACTGGTGATGCCCGTGCTTTGAAAGGGGTATGCCATGCTATGGTAGTATGGAGTACAATCATGTACACTGTCCCTGTACAGGAAGTGTCATGTACATGTACACGATCTTGTTTTATGGATAGTGAAGGGACACATACACGAACATGTCATGTATGTAAGAACTGTAATACATGTAATAATAATGTACATGTACATGTCATATTCATTGTATACAATGTACATGGCACGTATGTCGTGTTTGTGCGTTGTGCGGCTTCGTGTCAATAACTGACTTCACAAAGTCCCTTGCATTCTGGTGAAAACTTGAATCTCAGTGCTTCCTGCCACACGGCCCTGAACTAGCTACAATTCAACGCGAAAGTTCCCATTTCTCCCTTCTCTCTCTCTTCTGTAACTCATGCTATGATTGATGATTCCATGGGTTTCGAACCGGATGAGTGCTGGCCCTGCTGGGGTCACAGGCATGATGGTGTGCAAGGTATACCGGTACTGGGAGAGGGTTGTCTAACTTACTAGATAGCACCGCCTGTGATCCCTTGTCTGTGGAACCAAAAAAGGACGTGTACATGTATATACATGTACATGTACTGTACATGTACAGTACATGTATAGACATGTACATGTACATATACATGAGACGGATTGTTGTTACATGTATGATTATACATGTACCTCTACATAATATGTAAAAAGAAAATTTCACAAAAAGTCAAAATTGATAAAAGCACACCATCAGCACTGATTCCTTTTCGACCTTGCTGTTTTCAACATTGCTGCCTGACTCCATCTCACGCATCCACAGCTGTCCACTAGCGCAGGTTGGCAGCTGCATCCTATCTTTCTGTCAGACACAATGCCAAATACATGTACATCTGCCAACCAGGTCTTGAATGGAGCACCACACCTCAGCAGTGACATGCCCGTACAGTCACTGGGTCATCAAATGTCATGACCGGGGAGTTGGCCAGACATACTCTCAGGATTCTACAAGTCCAGGTTCTTTACGGAAATATACCAGGAGTCCAGATACCCATTCCTCACCCTCACCACACAAGAAGACCAAAGCTTCACTCTAGGACCAAGCTCAAACAACCGAGAAGCAACAAGAACAACAACCACAAGCGATCGACGCAAAGCACCGAGCTATAATTATACTACAGTACAGTACATGTACGAGTAGCGTACACGGAGAGAAGCGAGCGAGCGAGCAGCCAGCAAAGCATGAATAGTGATAGGTTTCACAACACTATTGATCGGCGAGACACATCGCCGCCACGACAAACACTTGATAAAGATACATGTAGGAGCAGACGAATACAATACAGATAATGACATTGTAGCAACACACGGACACGACACATATCATATGCAGTCATTCCATCATGTACAATACATGTACATGTACATGTACGTCGCTGCTGGACCTGGTTATCGTCGAGCGAGTGCTTCTTGACACGAAACTACTTGAGAGGAAAGGTTTAGTAATACGGAGGATTGGCAAGACGAAATTCGCGTTCGCGTTCGCAAACATTTTTCAGTTCGCGAACTGGATTGCGTACTTTCGCATTTTTCGTTCGGAAAAGTAGTCAGAACACGAATCGCAGATTCGTGTCAGGGCAGTCATAAATTTACCACGCTGTACTGTCTGTACGCACTGTACGTCGTGTCAACGTCATGTATGTGCGAATTCTGTCTGCTAATCCTTCTCATAACGCGAGTTCCGTCACTGAGTTCGACTTTCCTTGGAGAGCGAACGCGAACGCGAATTTCGTCTTGCTAATCCTCCGTAATAATTATTGTGTTGACTTGTCATTGTGCCGCAGCCGTACTACATGACGTACATGTTCTGTATTTTTATGTACATGTAAAATGTAAAATTTAATGTAAATGTAGAATCATGTTCATGTTCTGTATTTGCATGTAAATGTACAATTTACATAATTGTACTTGTTCGCATGAGCTGATTGCTCAGCAACTGGTGGTGTTAGTGGACATTATAGTGGAACTTGTAGTTCCTTGGTCTTTTTACTTTTTATAAAAATAATTCTTGGCTCTCCATCCCAGTTCGTTCTTGCACACCTGATGAGCCGTCCTTATTCATAGTACTGTAATTTCACAAATTTTCGGTGTACTTTTATTTTCGGTACTTTCGGTGCGTCTGTTTCATACCTAAAATTTCAATACACCGAACAAACACTAACACACATAATCCAATAGGGAACTGCTTGTCTGTACCGAAAATTTCTGTTCACCTAACCTAGCCTGTTGCCCTCATACCGAAAATATTGAGCACCGAAAATTTCTGAAATTAGAGTACTCCCATCTGCCCCTATCCCCTTTTAGCGCCTGGCACTGCATGTACTGTATGTGACAGTCACTGACACATTGGTTGCTGACGGCCAGATGGGCTAGGAAAGTGGCATCTGGGCCACTATTCAGCTGTCCAATATTAGACAGAGTCAAACTTCGCCCACATTGTCTCCCAGTCAGCGTCTCTGGTGAGACGAAAACCAGTGATTTACTGCTGCCAATGCTGCCTTGCACCAGTTCACAGCTACATGTACATTGTACATGTACATGTATGAGTTCGTGTGCTTGGTGGGTCACTTCGTCCAAGCATCCGGCGCTCTAGTATCATTTTCGCTGTAAGGAGTTGCACCAAATATCCCCAAATATCGCCATATTCATCATATTTGCTGTAAAGTGTGCCATGAAATAGCACTATCCATCACATTCCATGCTGTATTTTGTACCAAATAGCCTTATTTATCACTCCGCGTGGTCTTCATCAGGGGATTGGAAATCATCAAGGTACATTATTGTACACACCAAGCAGGAAGCCGCTAAAGATCTGGTATCGACAATGGCTGATGTATAACGTACATGTACATGTGCAAACAACATATCTCAGGGTTCTGACGCAATTCGAATATCCTAATTACATGACTGTGTGAAGTTGAGTGTGGTCGCCTGGTCGGATGATGTGGCCAGTCAATCTGTACTAGTCTGTAGGTAGTGTAGCCGCATTGCAGACGCATCGAGCATGTACATGCACATGAACATGTACATGTCATATACATGTACATGTACATGTACATTGTACATTGTACATGACTCTGTTTGACAAGATTCAATGTGCATGGCTATTGTACAGTTGTGTGTACATGTACATGTATATTGTCATGTACAATGTACATGTAGATACATGTACATGTCATGTACATGTAAATCTCCTTGTGGAGTATTTTCTCTGGGTGCGTTGCTCGCAGATTGTGTACGCCTCTGGCCTAGTCTGGGAGATCCTTTAGTATTAGGATTAAAAAAAGTAACTCGCTGTCAATCTAGGATGAATAGCTGTCTCGTTACTCTCGACGTCTCGTGTATGGCACTGGTCCTTGGCTGGTACATGTAGCACGGCGTGTTTCTTCTCTACTGTGTTTGCTTTGGTGAATGTTTTCAAACTCGATCAGGGCACGGTAGGGGAATTGAATTCTGTTTTCGGATTGATACAAGTACACAGCGTCTATTGCCTTTACATAGTCATTGCTTGTATGCAGGTGTGGCTGCTGTAGTAGCACTGGCTTTACCTGTCATCACCTGTCAGTGTGTCACAACAAACATTCCTATTCTCATTTTACACTTCACTGTAAATCTATCTGCATACAGTCATGATGTTCATTTGACAGATACAAGCTGCTGAGCGCGGTACGCGGTGACGAGCTCGAGCAAGAGAAACGACAGAAGCTGGCAACAACATAACTACTTGAAAACTGCCTAAAATAGCCACACTGCCACTGGTCTCCACACTGGGTCCTTTTCTTTGAATGCACATGAGCGGTTCAGCACGCACATGTACGTCGCGGGCCGGGAAGAGCACGAAGCTCAGTCTCTCCGATCCGTGGCGTGGGTGCAGGGCAAGGATCACGTCCGTCAAAAGGGAAACCCCCTCTCAACGTGTAGGCGAAGATGCTAATTTTGGCAATATGCATTATGACAGCGCTCACGTCTCAAACACTGCGCACCGTGAATCATCAGGGCCGGGCCAGGGCCAGGGGAAGTTTGCAGCTGCATACTGGGGACTCAGAAGAATGTTGCTGATTAAAAATATCCTCTCTGCGCGCCACTGCGCAGCCAATGGACGGACACAGTTTATAATGGTGGTAAGCATGGTGTGTTTCGGTGTGCTCATTGCGCTTCAGACTGAGATTTCCCAGCCGTAGGTGGGGCATTGGCTCAAGTTACCAAGGCAAAGGTACATGTACATTAGCAGTATTACATGAAATGGAAATAAATCCAGTCTCGTGACACGTTGACGTACATGTACATGTAGCTCTTCTGTAGTGCGCACGCGACGTTTCTGTTGCCATTGGGATCATCCGCAAATAGCCATATCACTGTATTCTGCACATTGTCATTGACAACCCAGGTGAGACGCAGGACCATGCCCAAACAATACTGCAACATGCTTGGTCAACCTATGTGTATGACTTTCAATCAGTATAAAAGGCAGCAACAGATTTGTCAAAAAGCAGATCAGAAAACGAGAGGTCCTCTACTGTTTGATTAGCTCAAAAGGTCTTCTCACCTGCGAATATTGCCATGGCTTTCGTGCTGCTTCAAATGCTAGTATTACCATTCTTTGCAACCATCATGGCGGCACCATTGCCTCAAGGCAATGACCATGGAGACGGTAATGATGCCCGCGTTGTCGTGCTGAAGTCTCGGCCTACCCGCCACTTTGTCAGGGCATCTCACGGTGATCAAATGTTTCACGCCAACATGAAGAAGTGTACGGACAAAGGTAAGAGATAACTCTGAAAGAAACAAGCATCTCACCATTACAACCTGGGGAACCCTTTGTAACAGCCTCAAATTAATGTCGAACACGTGAACTAGCTGCACCAAGAAAGAAATAAGTAGTTGATACTAAATAGGTATTACTATTAGGCCATTCTGTTGAGATTGGATCTACATGTACATGTATGAGCGTTGCGTAAGAATACTTCCCAAAGTCTCCCTGCCTTTGTAGGGGTTCTCCTAAAATCACAAAAGAGCATCTCGATAACTGTATATCAAGGTGGCCGGGATGTGTGCAGAGATGCACATGTACATGTACATGAATGTGTATGCAAGAGCGCTTCGTTTGATTTGTTAGAATTGCAGTAGGATATCAGAAAGCGAGCGTGCTGAAGACCCAAGTAGAAAATCACACTTATAATGTGAATTCAGGGCTGTCTCAGTGTCTGTTTGCATGCAAGGAGATGCAATGGTATCCTGTTTGGATCATGTTCAACTGGAGAACCTAGTAAGGGCTGGACGGTGTTTGCCCATTGTGTCTTTGCTGCGAAGATTCACACAATGGAACATTATACATGTACATGACTGGCGTTTTCCTTCTACTGCTCTTTCTGGTGTACACAGCGTGGTTCAACTTTCGACCGACTCTGTTGAACGGCGAGAACGTCCACACTATTCAGAATAACCACTCCGGCCTGTACTGGTCAGCCGAGAATCAAGACACTTTACGTGCGGCCAACAAGGTAAGATTACTACTTTGAAGTACAAATCAAATTCGTTGATCTCCGAGCTGCAGAGAAGCTATGTACTTTGTACATAGTAAACGGCATTAGTTGTGAACGACTTGGTCCAACATTCACATCCTTTTCTGTTTAATTTTAAAATGGAAGAACTACTTGTATTTAATTTACAAAGGTATTATTTAAGCGGCCATACATTCGTTATCCAAGTATGAAACGTTAATTTGACCTTCGTTTAATTTTGTCCTTGTCTCCTCAGGTGTCCCTTGATGCCAGCGAAGATGCTGCGGCATTCTTCATCATCCACACAGATGCCAATGCTAACCTAGAATTCGAAAGCGTCAAGTACCGTGGACAGTATGTGGCTGTACTCACTACAGCTCATTCTCACAGTCGACTGGTCCTAAAGACCAAATCACAACTACGCCTGAATGACCCAACTGTTGGATTTCTCTACTCGTACCACCATTCCCAGCATATGTGTGCCTCTACTAAAGATCATGATAGTCATACTGATAAGAATCCCATCCAAAAACACAATGACCCGGTATCAAACCCAGACCGGTCCAATGACGTTGTGAAAGACTATCTTCGAGAAGCCCTTCTGAACAGACGGCAGTCCAAGAAAACTGTGAAGGTCCATCACGAAATCCGTACTGCTGCACCTCAGACGACGTCTATCCCAACAACACAGCCTGTGGAGGACACGGGTGAGCTGACAGATGCGGAACTATTTGCCCTCCTAGGATGGTTTTGATTTGCGACTTTTTATCTAGAATGACTTTACCTTTGAGTTCTAAATTATTTTGACCTCCTTCTCCAAAACGTTTTTATTGTATTATGCACACAAGTCAAAGAGCATCACGCACCATCCAGTTGTAGCTATTAGTTGCATCTCCACCGGCAATCATCAGAGAGGTGATCTATTTATATGATGCAGTGAATTTATTTATTTCCATTTGAAGTTGAAGAGTTGGGAAATTGCTAACATAAGGTTTCGCTTGATATAAATGCAAATGTATATGTGTGTCAGCCCTTGAATACTGCTATATATCTATGACAGTGAATCTTACTTTCTGGTCCTTGATATCATAATAAATTATTACCTGAATATTTATCGCAGCCACTATCTCGAAATGTAACCTCAGATACATGTACATGTTTATATCGGGCAGGTTCCTGCTGTAGCATACATGTAGCCATAAGTATTCATCTCTGACAGGTGTGTAGGAACGCTTGATACTTTTGTTCGCTAAGTATAGCCTGTCTGTGTACATGTACTACTCATCCATTCACAACTTATCACTATTTGTAATCCGTATTCCTTACAGTTTCATCAACTCCAACAACTTGACCATTACTTTTCTTCTTTTATTCACCATGGTTGGTTAACACCCACATCTCCCGTACTGGCTGATTTTCTTCTCATGCCATGAGGTGTTGTCTATAATAATAATAATAATAACTTCGTTCGGTAACTGTCTTGCACTTTACGTTTAATGTGATAAAATATTGCGAATATACCGGGTCCATTTTAACACCTCACGGGAGAAAATGATTCTTCCCGTGCGCAGTGTACATGTATATTCTCTTACAAAGACGATTCCAAAAGATGCAGCGATATTCTAGAATTCGTTGAGATCAATCAGGAAAGTCACTTTGGTCCCATCTGATGAGCAATAGCAACGTCGAAATTGCCATCTGTGCGGATGCTAGCTATCAGCAGGGAGTAGTACAATACCGATATTGTACTACTCCCTGGCTTTCACTGTATCAGTATGTATTTGTGATACGAATACACTGTACTGACGTGCTGGTTTTCGGCAATCATGCAGAAGATGATGGAGCGAAACTCGATTGACACCTTTACATAATGCACATGTACATGTACATGTACGTGTATACATGTACGTGTATACATGTACTTTGAAGTACACGTACATGTATACACGTACATGTACATGTACATGTACGTACACGAACGCAGCCTCTACTCCCCTAAGCAGGAGAGCCTACAAGGACAAGTTTAGTTTAGACGTTCAATGTTTGACATTGAGAACAATGCATGTGCATCGTAAGTCTGTGAGTGTGAAAGTTGCAATAAGAGAGAGGGGGTACATACATGTAGATAGAGATAGAGAGAGAGAGGGAGAGACAGTGAGAGAGAGAAAGAGATCTCCATGTCAACTCGGTCACTTCGTACAAGTGGCCACGGCGTATCGGCGTGTGTGCATGTGTTACGGACAGTGTTTTCTATCCCTCTAGCTCTGGGGCACTAGTGTGGGGCCCTATTAGTGATTGTTTCAGTTTCAATCGATTTACACTGCAAATGTTGTTAATTTATTATTCCTACTACTAGTACTTGAAGACGTGGAGTAGAATAGATACAACAGAGTTGCGGGGAGGACAGTCCGGCATTGCCGTGATCAATGATCCCACATGAACAATACGCTCACCTGCTGTGCTCTTTGTCTGTGTGGATAGTGAGTTGTTGGTTCCTTATGCAACTTCCCTGCTACTGCCCGCTCCGCAGACTCCCAATACTGTAAAATTCACGAGGAATGTGAACACAGCTGCAAGAACATGACCAAAAAACAAACGATCAATCGGACCAGACATCCTATGGAACTGAACTACATGTACATGTACTTGTAGCTTCAAGCTCCTCTCAACCAACATTTCTACTGGTCGGGGCATTGTCGATTCTTTTCTCCAACTCTTCAGATGGATGAATGCAGATGAATGTCACTCATGTCAGAAAGTCCGTGATACCATCCAACGGGTTAGCCAACTTACTGGCTTCGTTTCATAGCCATTCCAGTGCGAGTGACTCTCGCCAATTGGGAATCCATGGCCATTGATATTATGTGCATGTACATCGCGCAATCCATCTGCCAAAATACTACTTTCTGTAACAGTTTCAAGGGCTGGTGTAACACTTCCAAGTGTTAATCTTCTTGGTGTATCCGCTCTGGTCCCATTATTATTCTCGGATGCTTTTAAATGCCATCGGCTGCATAATAATGCCGATGTGCGTAACGTCGGGCCTAAGATTCAGACTGTTTGTCAGCGTGGAATGCTGGAATCTTACAGCTGTCACAGTAGAACTTGAACTGAGTAGTAGAAGTAATAGAGGATTATTGACGCGGACCAAGAACATTTTGAGAGTAAACACTGTGTTGTATGTGATGCAGGGAGCGAAGTAGGAAATTCAGCTGAAGAAATGGTCGCCACATGATCGTTTTGTCACTGGCTGTGAGCGTGAGGTCATCAAGTACACGTGAAGTTTGTGATGTTGACATTCGACCGTATGCGACTCGTTCCTTGGCAGGGTAACCTTGCTCACCACTGTTAGAGTACGGCAGTATAAACGCATAGTAATAATCTGCGACAGAAAAGGCGTGATGTGAAACATTGTCCTGCAGTGGATAGGCCGGTGGTCGGTACTCGTTCCCCACTGTATGTGCAAGGACGCTGTATGATGTTGCGATGACGAACAAACTGCATACATTGTAGGTTCCGTACTAGCATATGCAGCTGTATTGGGAGAACGAGTATGAGGTACATATAATATATTGTCAGAGCTAACACGTGCCTCGCGGGGTCTTTGGCTTTAGCCTTGGAAAGTGAATAATAATCCATGATCTATTCAAAGCCCACATCAGTGAAGATTGGCAAGAAGGGACAGGAGAAGAGAATAGCTAGAGAGAAAGGAGGAAGCCTTGGAAAGTAGTTCAGGGACGCAGTACGAACTGTGATGGTCTGTACAAGGGCGAATGTTGCTGGTCACCCTTCTTGAGGCAGTATGAACCCAACACATCGATAAGGTCCAGTCGTCAACCTGGTGCATGATTATTCACACAACATGATGCATTCACTGGATAGTCGGTTTAAGTGCGTGGGAATTCGGAGGATGGTGGTGTTGTTGGGCGACACTCTATACATGTACATCTACATGTACGTGTACATGTACGTGTACGCGTAGATCTAGTGCCGTTTTTATTTATCATAGTTTTCAACCAATCTGGCATCACACTTTCGTTTCATCGAACAATGCGCCCACTTACAATAATCATATCCATCAGTCGGTCGCATAATGGCTACTCCTGAGTATTCCATTGACAAGAAAGGAACAAGCTCTATGCTTATCACAAGCGGCATAACTGAACCAGGCTGGGGATTGTTCCGCCCGTGACTGTTTTATTCTTCTCCCCCAGAAAACTATGGACAGAGTGAGAATTGTGAATGGGTTATGAGGGCGGAACACAATGCACTGTATCAGGAAACAACACCTGACGAAACTAAGTTACTTCATGGAGATACTGTACATGTAAATGAATGCACAGATTTTCCCAGGGCATACAATCACGCGATGGGCCATGACTATGTACATGCATACATGTACATGCATACATGTACATGACTTGTATGCATGTTCCACGGATGGGGTGCTACATCGCGAATACGCCAGCTATCAGAAGCGACTTGCTGGTCGCCTCGCCCTCAAGTGGGACAAGCCATTTTCAATCATCATGGCTTGGGTGCGAGTTCGTAGCCAATTTGCAGTGATCCATGCAGTCGACCTCCGGCTACGCGGGTCTAGAAGGCGCCTGACAGGCCTGTCGACGCAGGATGGTGCTGGGGTAGGCATCGGCCATTGAAAACTGAATTTCGTCTGTTTTACGTGGAATTTCTTGGGGTTTCCCAATGTATTGTACTTGAATATAATTCTATTTTACCTTTCATGGTATCTCAATTTTTTCACGTCTACATGACTTTATTTTTCCCGTAAAAGAGGCCGTTACCCCCGAAAAAACATGTACATGTACATTTATTCCTCAGAAACCGACCGTTTCGCACTTTCCCTTTGGCATTATTCACAGGACCTGTCAAATGACAGAGCTAGTTGCAAGTGAGTGTCACTGAGTGGGAGTGTCCACAGTGAAACGTTGGTTGTGATTGATTCCTGACAAACTCTTACAGTATATTCGAACCCAAACACCCTTTTCATCAAATCCTCAAATCACTTTTTGATCTCTTTATGTGATCTTCTTTAGTCTTTAGTCACCTTCACCAAAATGCTTATAAAGAGAACAAATTAATGATGGTCTACATGTGCACATGTACATGTACATGTACATACCACATTCATGTACATGGCAAAACAGAACAATGACGTAGATCTACGGGTTCCAATATCTACATGTAGTACTGAAAGTAACACAAACTAGAGAAGTGAGTTTGTTCATGATACAGTGTAACACTGTAATCAGTCACTCATGGAGTCATGCTTTTCAAGTGCTAGGCTATACATGTAGATCTAATGACTGCATAAATACAAGTACAATGTGACAGATTTATAAGTAAGTTGTCCTTGTCACTGTGACTGAGTGTGACACCTCTGCCGGCTCTGGCAGGTGTTGTTGCCTAAGTTGGCTATTCATGACCAAAGCAATGTCATCTAGGCCACCTCTCAGCTGTAGTATCCTAGTTTTTCACACTCCAACAACCATTTTACGGGCAAAAGCAACACAATGATGAGAAACCAGGGTATGATAGGAATATACACGTACATGTAACACACAGGTGCGGAAAATACATATACATGTACATGTACAAAATCCGTTGATCCCGAGCTGCAGAGAGTGCTCAATGTCAGAGACAGAGCTTAGTACATAGCAGACTCAGCGGAGGACGTTCAGGCTGGTTGTAACTCTGAGTTTCATGCCGCTAGGCAATCATCAGACAACTGATACTCGGGTCTACCCAACAGTATGCTTATAAACACATAGGGCCACACGCATAAACGAATTTAGCGCTAAATCTGGTGTGAGGTATGGGGAGAAAGCTGGCGCGGGCCAAGGCGTGACAGTGGAAGTGCCAGGAGGGTGGCGGGCAACAGGCAGGTGTGAGCATGAAAGCGCGGAAAGAGGCGATGGGGAGGCAGTGTACAGCAGATGTGTGTGGGGGGGGGGGGGGGGTGCCAGGAGGGTGGCGGGCAATGGCCCAGTGAGATCACTACAAGTAGGGAGTCGTTTGGTGACGGGCAGGCGTGAGCAGAGTGGGGAAACTCAGAGTTACAACCAACCTGAACGTCCTCCGCTGAGTCTGCTATATACATGTACATGTATAATGTACAATAACTGTGTATGTCTCCTATCGAAAGTACAGTGTACATGTAATACATATAATTATAATATTTATTACAAGTAATACAACATCTCACGACTCGGAGACATGATTGAACATGTAAAATGTACATGTACATGTACATGTACATGTACATGTCATTGTATACGCAATGAATCAATGACTTACCTGCTACTCAGCGCACAATGGATGAGTTGGGAAAGCAGTGAGTCGATGTCACTACTGACACTGCTCCAGTTTGCAACAATCAACAACATGTACCTGTACA